GAGGACCAACGAGGAGCTGATGATGGATGTCGTTAGAGTCGCGATGTTCATCTGGCTCACAGGTTAAAATAAATTAATTAGTTTGAAATTAATTAGATTCGTAATAAACGGTCATGGATGAAAACATCAACCCATTAACCCAGAAATTATGTTTATGAAGCTCTTTTTATTCTATTTCTCCCCAATTAATCACATTTCTGACACAGTTCAACCACCAGAAGTCCACAAAAATGACTCTTAATCAATATTATCAGGTTTATATTGATCGTTTTATAGGCTAACATTAGCATGAAGCTAACATATCGCTGTCATTCACTGTTTAAGTTCATCCAGCGGCCGTTGAAAGAACTTCAGTCGGTTTTTGATGTCAGAACTTTCTCTCTGACTCCGTCGGTGTGACAGTCCGGTCCTCAGAAACCAGATTAAAGGGAATTCTTTCATTATTTATCAGCTGCCAGCCGCCATCACTCGCCATGACAGACCTTTGAAGACGGGGGCGGCTTTGATGGAAGTGAAATTTCACTTTCTGGTGTCTCCCGTCCAGCGTCCAGCCTCATCTGGTCTGTCACATCGGTTCCTCTGAGCGGGGACGCTGGAGGACGAATCTCAGGGTCAGGAAGAGAGCGACTGAAGGACGGCGTTCCTCAGCTAAAAGCCCGGCAGCGATTAGAATCTGAAATCAATAAAGGATCAGTTTGATTACCTGCAGTATGGATCCGACACCCTGTTCCCCTCATTGATCATCTGATCTGCCACTTTCAACAAACCGATATCGATAAATTCTGTGGTGGAAACACGAGCAGCGTCTCAATCCTGATAAATATTATATTTATACCATCCTGTTAATATAATTTGAGCCTGAGACTGAACTGCTTTTCTTTTAACATTGTTAATTCAGTGTTCATATTATTAATCAATCAATCAATCAATCAATCAATCAGACTTTTACAGCAGTTTTTATTAGTGCTGTCAGTTAAATGCGTTATTAACGGCGTTAACGCAAACCCATTTTAACGGCGTCAATGTTTTTATCGTGAGATTAACATTCTTTTTGGCCTAGCACACTTTGTAGTTTTTTTCACATGCTGTTGCAACAACTAGTAATGTTAGAAAAACTACAACACCCACCGGATCTAGCTAGACCGGAAACAAAACAACAGGCACGCCGCACACACTTGTTTAAGAGTAGTAGACGTTACGTTTTGAGTGGATGGCGAGCGCGAGATGCCAAAATGGATGCCAATAATATTCTGAATGGAAAGTTTACTTTTAAAAAGTTGCCAAATGGTTCCATTGACAAGACCAAAGTGATCTGTGTGTTTTGTCGTTGTGAACTGAGCTATCATCGTGGCACGTCCAGTCTGAAATACCACTTGATGGCCGAGCACACAGCTGATGCAAATTCTCCGCCCCCTCGTCAAAGCCAGGCGACAATGGATGATTTTTCAATGAAAACAACATTTGCACAAAGCAAGCTGATCCACTTTTCCATGTTGATAAGAGCAATAAAATGAGAAAAAATAATGGGACAAAAAGAAATCAAGGGACATTTAGAATAGATAAAAATTTGCGATTAATTGCGATTAATTGCAAGTTAACTATGACATTAATGCGATTAATCGCGATTAAATATTTTAATCGTTTGACTGCACTAGTTTTTATACAAGTAAAGCACACTGTAACACACACACACACAGAGGTAATACATGTTTTTGTGGACAATAAAACTAATACTAATAAACTAAATTAAGTCAGATATATAAAAACATTAAGCAATAAAACAGATTAAAATGTCTCCACTTTAATAATAATGGATTTCCGACAATGGATGAATGCGACTATAGCAGGCTGATTAGATCATTAACTGCTTCTAAAAGCTGTTGATTCATCTCTTTTATGAAGTGAGTTCTGTAAGATGGAGATCGGGACAAAAGCCTGTTAACCTAAATGCTTTTGTCTCATTTATAAAGTATTTAAAATGTCTACGTTGTTTTATCTCCTCAAACTGGCTGCTTAAACCTGTTCAATGATGCAGAAACAGCAGTAAAAACATTCAGGAAACGTTTATTTATGCATAAATTATCTTATAATTCTCACTGTGAACTGACTCAGTGAGTTTTTAAAAAGTTGATCCCTCAGTTTAATTTTCTCTTTTCTCATATTTTCCCTGAACCTGCGCAGTGTTTTGTTTATTGCACAACGGTGTAAATGTGTCCCTATACGTCGTCCAGTGATGGATTTGTTCCTGTGGGACATCGTCCATTGTTTGAATACCCTGATTGGACCCGTTAGCTGTGTCTGTTTGGCCATTTATTCACAGGAATTACAAAAACAGAGCAAACACATCGAGCTCCGAGGTTTAATAACGCATCTGACTGATGGCGTCTGTGCACAAACTGCTGCTGTCTGAGGTCTGAGCTTGGTTTGGCCGGCAGCCTGTCGAGGTGCCAACTGGCAGTAAATCCAGAGCTCAGCAGGCCAGTTCGCTCTGAGACAGCTGCAGGCAACATCTGTATGTCCACACGTTTTCATATTATGACCTGCAGCTGGACTGAGTCTGCTGGCAGCACTGAACTGACTCTGTTATGTGACAGGATGTCAGGATTCGTTGTGTTATTTCATATTTTTCTTTATCAGATCCAATGAAAAGAACGATTTCTTCCTCCTGAAGAAGTAAATCTTTAAAAACACCTCACAAATAAATCGTTTAGTGTTTGAAAAAAGGTTTTTAAACAGCTGCTCAATGTAGGGTAAAGTGGATTTATTGGGGACTATTTTCAGCAGCGGATGAATCCACATTTGGTCATTAACTCACTTTACAGAAATCAAACCAAGCGAATCCATCAGAGCTTGTTACTCTGAATAAACTGAGTGTGAACATCACAGCTATAAACTGCCTCCTCTTCCTCCGTTACCTCCCTCTCCTGCCTGAACCCACCAGTCAGAGTCCTGGTCGGAGCCGCTGTGAACTCTGTTAGTTGTTTTGAGTGTGTTACAATAGAAAAGGTCCGTGTTGCAACAATCCTCTGATACTTTGGTCCCGGGAACGAGAAGCAGCTCCTGCGACTATCCTACTGATGAAACATCCGTCGACTAAGATTCACCTTTATATGGTTAGATGTTGAAAATGCATCATATCGCTTTAATTATCAATGAGAACCAGTGAGAACAATAATGTTTTGTAATAATAATGTAGTTTTATCTGTTGTATGTTATTTGAGGTGTGTTGTTATTAGTGCTGCACTCTAATAATTGACTAAACTAAAGGAATCTTTTTCACGTTTCTTGGACAGTAGAAACTGACAATGTTAGAAGAGCTCAGGGAAAGAGAAGGACAGTAACACTCTACAGCACTGGTTACCAACCTTTTCTATCATTAATAAACTGACTCAATGACATGTTTTATGGATATTTCATATTATTTTAAAACTGTACAATGAACACAAACAGTGAACTCAGTAACTGCAGGAAGTTTGTGTAAAACCAGAGATTTGGATGAATTTTGAGCAGATTATTTCCTGTTTAGGGAACTTTTTATACAATTCTCTCTGTATTATGTATTTTTAATCATTTTAAACAATCAAACAGACCTAATAAGCTTATTTTTGGACAAATTCAGTTCACAGAAGTGAACCAAATACTGAGATATCGGCCTACTGTGTGTATTTTTTAAGTTTTACCCCTTATAATAAAGAAGGCCTCGCGACTTGGTTGGAATCCACTGACCTTAAGTACAATAATTAAGAAATAAAAACATATTGTTGATGTTGTTATTTCAGAATCACTCTTCAACTGTAAAATGCTTAATGATGATGATAATGATGATGTTTGGGGAATGATGCTGAGCTGTGGTGTGTGTGTGTGTGTGTGTGTGTGTGTACACACAGTAGTGACGTCGTCTCTCATCACAGCTTTATTACTGTGTGTTTAATCAGCGGTGCTGCAGCAGGATCTGTTGATTAATGAGAGAATCAATCGATCAATCAATAAAGACCTCAGTGTGTTTGATTCTCTGATCTTTCTGAAAACATGTTTTTCTGTTCATATTCTGAAATATGAAAGGAAATCCTGCTTTTAACCAGATAAAAGAGTCAAACAGCTGCTGTGACTCTTAGTGCTGCTGAATGATAATAAAATAATTACTGTATTTAAAGTAAAGAACAACAACGACGACCTACAAGACGGCATTTTATATCACCTCCACTTATATTAAAACCTGATCTCTTCTTATTAACTATTTGACCTTTGCCATTATTTTGCGCCCAACTAAACAAGTTTGTAAAATATAATTGTGTTTTTATTGTAACTGTATTAGTTTCAGTCCTAGTTTAAAATCTTGCAGGATGGATTATATTGTATTTTTTTGCGTGTTGTGGGCCAGAGGGAGGGTAAAATGGGCCCGGTCGGCAGTTTGAGACTTAGACAGTAGAAACCGACAATGTTAGAAGAGCTCAGGGAAAGAGAAGTTAGCGTGAAACATTTGTTTCTGAGGTTGACGTATCTAAAATCTAAAATCTGGAATAATTAAAACCATTATCAGTTAAAAAGTGTTTTTTGTTCAAGGCTGTAAACATGTTTATTTCTGCTGTATAGTTTTTTAATATGGGGCCTCTAGTGGACGTTCGAGGAACTGCAGCTTTTGGCTTCATTTGCTCTTAATGTGAGAACAGATTTTACACTTTGTTGCACTGATAATGAGACATTTGTTGAAATAAAAGTGTCGGGCATCAAATACATTTCAGACCATTAAGGTTTACAAGTAAAACAGGTTGAATGATGGAGTCTTTCTTTCAGTAAGCACCCTAACAACACCCCAGGGCTGCTTGGTGTGATTAATATAACAAATACAGCCTGTGTGTGTTTCAGGCTCCAGCGCAGTGAAACAGGCCTGTGTGGCAGGTTGACATTAACATTAGACTGTATCTTCTCAGGTATGCTGTAAAGGAGGATGATCTCTCTCTGCTGTGACTGATGTTGTTTCTTCCTGTGTTTCTCTGCAGGTGGAGCGGGAGATAGCCATTCTGAAGCTCATAGAGCATCCCCACGTTTTAAAGCTGCACGACGTCTATGAAAACAAGAAATACCTGTAAGTACAACGTGTCCACGCTGCATTCACTGTTGATTAAGGAGTGGAGATGCAACTCGCACGACTGAATAAGGAGGAACACGAGGAGTTGTTGGAAAAAATTTCTTTATGGCTGTGCAAAGCAATAACTTTATTGCTGAGATCTGGTGGTAATTCACCAGGATTAAACAAGGATTAAAGGAAAATAAAGAAAAATCTCATTACAGTACATTTTTTAAAATATCTGACCCAACTTTAACAAGCAGCTGTTAAATGTCTGAAGCAGTTGTATTAGATCTCTAACATCTACATGCTAACATGCTAACATTATAATGTTATTTTAAGCAGATTAAAGATAAATGCTGTTGTTTATTTTATCAAAAGCAAAAAGGATTTTTCTAGTAGATGTTTTTGTTATAGCCTGACGATGTCGGGACTGTAATATGTTTGTTGCAATATCTCATATCGTTTAATTTCCAACAGGAAATTTAGACCATGCTACCGTTTACTGTGCTGGTTTGAGTGGTGACGTCACACGACTACCTGTTGCTAAAATAATGCAGCGTTTGCAGATCAAACAAGCTACAAATTTAGCAACTTTTTCAGACCATCAGGGAAAGGACAAGAAATATATTCAGATATACAGTATATACTGCAGGCAAAAATCTGCATGGGATTAGCATAAAGTGGGCATGTCTGCAAAGGAGAGACTTGTGGGTTCTCATTCAACATATTTTCATTCAGATATGCTGAGGTCAAAGGATCCCTTTGAAAATAGTTGTGCCAGTTTTTCCATCACTAAAATTTAGCCTAACTTTGCAGCGTTATTTAGCCTCCTTGTCGACATGCTAGCATGGTTGGTACCAGTGGATCATTTCATATAGTACCAGTATCTTCACTCTTCAATTGACCATAATTTACTAAATGAACATCATGCTGTATGGAAGACTGAAACTAGAGACTGAGACCATAAACTCATCAGGAAACTGTTTACTGAGATAATAAATCAACTGAGAAGTTAGTTCATTTCTCCATAAGACTGAATGGTATCAGCTTATATTGCAGCCAGTGGAGCTGCCCCCTGCTGGCCATTACACAGAATGCAGGTCTAAGACACTTCACAAAGCTCTGTGTGTTATATACACTGTCAGTGGTTGGCGTCTGTTAGCAGGAAACTTCCTTTAGAGGCTTTAAGCTGAGAAAATGTCTTACTAGAAAAATCTGCACTATTATAGTTTATATTTCTTCACACTAATAAAGGAGATTTTTGGTTCGATTTTAAGCGCTGACAAACAACATGACTGTCTTTACTGTAGCTCCATACAGCAATTTTATTAAAGCATGAAATGTTTTATTGCCCCCCCCCCCCTTAACCTGCCCCCCCGACTGCGGCGCTTTAATGTATACCCGTGTTTTGTTGTATACATTAATCCACTGCGTGTGGCGGCTGTGCTCCAGTGGCATGCCTTAATGCGCTGTTCAATAATTGATAAAGGCCTTGCTGTCAGACGGAGCGGGAATTTGTTTTCTTAATGTAGCGAGGACGGGGACTGGTGGTCATCACGGACGCAAACCGTTTGTAGCAGAGAAAATTTCACACTCACAAATCACAAGTGAACACGTTTCTAATTTAAATCGCTCTGACAGGTAAACGCTCGAGCAGATCCCTTAATCTACTAATAAATCAGTCCGTGGGGAGGCAGCGGTGGCGGCGGCGGCTCCCCACGCAGGCCGAGGATCAGAGATGTCCCTGAGACGGATGAACGGAGGAGATAGATAAAACATTTTAAACCAACGAACCAACGCGGGTTGGGGGATTTTCTCAAGGATTTACATTCCACATAGACGAACTGTGTAACTTCAACACGTCGAAACCAAATACTCCGAAGTTTATGAGTCAGTTGCTTCATTAATGCCTCTTTCACTTTCAGGAGCAATTAAACTCTCTTCTTTCTGGACTCAATAGTGCTTCAGGAAATAACTGTAAAAATACAGTTTTTAGCTTTAATTTGACCTAAAATCTTGTGCAATTGTCTTTTTAATGTTAAATAAAGATATGTACACTGTAAAAACAATTAAATGACCTATAAATACAAGTGAACACTGCTATAATACAAATAATCAGGCTTAAGTTTGCAGAAAAGTGCTGTTATTATTTGATAGACAAAAACATCATAACTTCATTCAAAGTGGACAGAAACTAAATCAAACTCACCAAAAGCGTCTCTGTTAGTCTTTCCAACAATCACCAACTCTGGTTTGGTAGAAATAAATCCTTAATTCACCGACGTAGATGATAAAAACAGCAGTTTCAGACCGTTGAGATAAACAAGGCAAAGACAACAACAGACCCAGAGTAGATGAGACTGTTTGACTCCACTGAATCTTCAGTTGTTTGCTGGTATATTCTTTCATTTTTGATCATCATTTGAACTCTGCAGTAAGATTTCAGGAACTGAAATGTTGCTCACTGATTTCTATTAGGCGAACAAAGTCGGGTGGATTTTCTCAACGTGTCGTACAGCAGGCAAACCTTCGACAGATACGAAAGAAGGAAAATCTGTTGTCCTTCAGTACTTTTACTGCTAATAGTTGCTGGTTAAAAGACATCTGACCTGTTTCTCTTCCCCTGCAGGTACCTGGTGTTAGAGCACGTGTCCGGAGGAGAGCTGTTCGACTACCTGGTGAAAAAGGGCCGGTTAACACCAAAAGAGGCCAGAAAGTTCTTCAGACAGATCATCTCAGCCCTGGACTTCTGCCACAGCCACTCCATATGGTTCGCTACCTTTACAGACATCAAATATATACACGTTTTATATATTTATTCCACAGTTGCTTTAGATTTTAGATTTGGTGCAGGTAAAATGGAAAAGGAGCTGTGGGCTTGTACAAAATGTCTGGAGGTGCAAAAATCAGCCAAATAGGTGCTGAAATGTAAAGTGTGTGGATCTGCAGCACTTCTTAATCAGACACAAAGGGAGAGAATATAGTGAGAGCGGACACAGAGAGATGGACTGTCTTAATAGTTCAGATGATGAAAACACTTTAACAAATTTAAAAAGAGGCAGTAACAAGGCGAAACGAGACAGAAACGCAACAACTCCTGCTGTTATTTTTCACTCAGTTCTGACTCTGTTTCCCCCCGGCGGCAGCAGTTCCAGTTCACTGTGTTCCACTAATACAATAATACAACAATAATCTTGTCAGAGGAGTTTAAAAGTTTTACCGAAAACCTCCCACACTGACTTTTTATACACTTGCTGCTGTTTTTGTTAAGCTGACAGCATCAGACTCATTATGTTGTACGCAAAAAGAACGTTATTTAAAGCAAAGCTGGAGAAATCCAATACCACGACAATGCCAGACGAGGTGTCGAGGATCAGGATTTAAAGGTCCAGTGTGCAGAAATGGAATATAATATTATTATATGTATGTTTTTAATGGTGTTTAATTACCTGAAAATAGTAATTGTTGTGTTTTCGTTACCTGACAATGAGACGTTTTTATGTACAGATGGAACAAAGCAAATACTGTACAAATACTACAATTTTTTGTCATATTAAATGAAACTTTCACTTTATCCTGACAGTAGAACATGAGACAGATAATCTGTGAAAACATCTGGTTCCTCTGGCTCCTCCTAGTGCTGGGATTTTTAAAAAGTTACATCTTGCAGCTTTAATGGACACCATGCAGCCAGTCAGATTAAAATATTCAACCAGACCAATTGTATATGATGATATAGAGCAAACAAAGACACAGCAAGTAATGAAGCTAACGTTTGCTATATTGTGGGTTTGCAAACTGTTGCTAAAGTCGATGCTAACATGCAACCAGCACTGTATCGAAGAACCAGACCATCAACATATAAAAGATGGACGTCATATCTCTACTTCCTCCCACTGTGCAAAAATGAAGCTAGATGTCCGGATACAGAAGAACAACCTAAAGTGACAGAAACCAATGGGACAAGAAAACACTGAATTTGTCAAAAGAAGAAGCCTGTTAAGTCTGTATGATTGTTAAAAAAAATAAAAACTACATAATACAGACAGAAAATTGTATAAAAAGTTCTCTAAACAGGAAATGATCTGCTCAAAATTCATCCAAATCTCTCGTCACAACTTCCTGCAGTTACTGAGTTCACTGTTTAAACCCTGCAGAGATATTTAACAGTGTTGATGTCCGTTCAACCAATAGTTCAGCAGCAGAAAGGATTTATTTTGTGACCCCGATTAGATGAATTGCAGCTGGTTCACATGCGTCGTCTTAGTAAATTTCCACTAATTTGAAAAGTATTTTTGCTTCCTCGCAGCAGGTTCAGTAAATATCACCCACAGTGGGAAAATAAATCCACTACAGGCAGCACATAGTTTGTTTTCCAAGAATTTTCTATGAAGTGGTTTTCCTAGAAGCACTGGAGTGTTTGCTCAGTTTGGATGATTGATCAACAGGGTTCCCTCCCGCGTTCCTCCTCTTCATCCTTTTTCCTCATCAGCTGCCACCGGGGGCAACTTTAGACGGTCCAGCAGCTCTTGATCTCCTTTCATCTCCGAGAGCACCTTTAGCTCCTCAACGCATGGCTGCTGCGCCCGGTGTCGAAGAGCAACTGCACATCAAAGAAGCTCTGCGTCTGACTCTCGGCATTTCACTTCAAGTGTTTCAGCTTTGAAGAATATATTCTGCGCTGTGTGTTTCCTCGATGATCCGATGAGATATGCAACCAGAGTCAAGCATTTCCTTTAAGCATTATGAGTAAAAAAAAGTCGGTTCTGATACCCGCACCTCCTTTACACCTGGAGTGTTCACTTCTTGATAATTGGATTGTGATAAAGTAGCCTCAACCACAGAGGAGATACTGTATCTGAATGCTTTCGGGACTAATTGTTTCCCATTTTGCCCCCCCACTACCTCCAGAGGTTGAAGCTTTAAGGCAGAGGGCCAACAGTTGTTCAGATATTAGTTCACATGAAACTCAGAGCAAAAGCAAAATGGTCATCAGGTTCGTAGACAGAAACTTATGGATTGGAAGGATGTCAGTGGACGGGAAACCAGAACTCTTCTGAGTAAAGAAGAGTCCAAATTTCTTTAAGACAAATGAGACTTTACATTTATGGTCGAGGTCTTCAAGGGACATAAAACGGACCCATGGAAACCCCCCTGGCTCCCCTGTAGTTCACATCCTGATTCTAATGATTCTTATATTCAGCTGATTGCACACTAATGAAAACATACCTGTGAATATTATATTCTGCCAATAGATCCTCCTCAATGTGACACACTGGACCTTTAATAACAAAATGATCCACAAACTAACAGATAAAGAAAATAACTGCTTTGGTAATGACACCCAAGGTACGAGAACCGGACCCTGTGAGGGATTGTGGTCTCTGATTTCTTTCTCCTGTGTTTCCTGTTGTGTCGTCCTGCAGCCACAGAGATTTGAAGCCCGAGAACTTGTTGTTAGACGAGAAGAACAACATCAGGATAGCAGACTTTGGTATGGCGTCTCTGCAGGTCGGGGACAGTCTGCTGGAGACCAGCTGTGGGTGAGTGAAACATTGGTTTTTAGTCCTAAACAACATTAAACTCTAACAGAGGAATAGTGAGCAATTTAACCATGAATGCTTTATAAGATTTGTCTTCAATGAATTCTATCAATTTTCTAGACTTATATCATAGAGGATTTATATTATTGTGTCCATTCTGTCTCCTCTTTTATCTTTATTTTAGATTTTATGTGTCCATCGTGTCTTTCTCCACACATACACTACAGCTGACAACCTGCTCGGACCATCTGTGACTCAATATAAGAATCCTGAAAAGAAATAAAGACATAAAAAGCTTTTACTTTCTCCCACATCAATCTGAAGTCTTGAGGGCGCTGACAGTGATTGGTGGTATTAATGTTTTAAAACGTGAGAACTCACTGTGGATTGGTCGGTACAAACAACCCCTCCCACCTTACAGGTAGACACTGATTGTTAGAGCTTACCTCAGCCCACCTTTAGTGAGCCGTGTGTTATGTTGTTGTGGGTTGTTGTGTAAGGATGGAAAGCAGAAATCTCTGTTGTGTAAGCTACTGGTTGTTTGTTCTGCAGGCTTTAGAAAGCTCTGTAGGATTCAGGCCGGTCCGATGTGTCCCCCTCGCAACAGTTAACCGCGGGCCAACCGGTGGCTCATGCAGGCAGTCATGTGGAACAGCTGAAGCCCGACTCCTCTGGCTCAGAAACGCTGCACAAAAAGCACAGAGACACAGAAGAACACGGAGTTACTGGGAGTTAAATACAGACACAGATACACCCAGAAATAATGCAACAGATTCAATATCAATATGTTTATATACAGTTTTCATGTTGACTCAGATTTCACTCAGGGTTGTTTGTGTTGATCAGAAACCTCTGAGACAACATGGCAGCATATGGACAATAACGTTGTTAGATCAATCCCATGGCTGATTGATCGATGTGGAATTTCATGCTTTGAGATCAGTTGATCAGTTGAAGAAGAAAATAAAGAACAGAAGTGATGTAGGAGGAAGAGGAGAACTGTGGTTAAAGTGAAATCAGTAACGAGTTGCGACTGGAGCTGCGGTCATAAAGTTAAAAAATGCCTCCGATGTAAACTGGAACAAGCTCAACATCTGGTGAATAATCGAACAATCGCGCAGCGCCAACACTCGTCTGTGTGGATCCATCAGAACAAATGAAGCAGAGAGCGCGACTCCTCCGACGGCGTGTCGACGAAGCACAGCTCGCAGAGTAAACACACACTCCATCAGCGCCAACATCGTACTTAATTATGCTAATGTATGTAAAACCAGTCGATCTGAACTACTCAAACACAGTCGTGTCAACATGCACTAACTGCAGTCTAATTACACCAAAGCAAAACTTCCATCCTTCCTGCTTTAGGCGCGCTGACTGACATTTAATAAACGTCACTGAGTGGAGGAGGCGCCGACTTGTTACTCATGCGAGATATTTACGAGATCCGTCAGAGGTTCTTCATAAAGTACGGAAGAGTAATCTGACAGATGGACGCCGCTCTGTTGTATTTATGTCCTGTGAAACTATCAGTGTGTCTACATCGTCAGCAGTTATCACACCCAGTAAACACGGTCAAAAGCTCAGGAAGGGGAGTGTAAGTGGGTAATTGATTTCAGACCGGGCTTTTTAGAGACTACATAATGAATAATATACAATCAGGATCCGCCGGGATTCAAATGTAGTCATTTATAAGCTGCTGAGAGAGCTGTGGGTGTTAGTTGTGTAAAATAACTGCTTTTGTGAATGAAGTCTGGTGGCTTTGAACACAGCAGTGTAACAACTGTATCTGGTGTCTCCTCTTTAATGAAACGGGCTCTGTTGGGATCTTTTCCATAATTTGTTTTCTGTTTTAAATAAAAAACAGAAAACAAAACAATTACTAGTTGTTTTGGGGGGAAATTATTATAATTACTTTAAAATACCCTCTGCTCCACACTGTCACACCAAACTCTATTCAAAAAACAGCTGTTTTAAGGAAGGGACATATGTCCACCATCCTTGAGACTCTGTACCGATTCTCTTCAGTCTACAGACACAATCTGCTCTCATTGACTCAGAAACATCAACTAACAAAATACAAAAAATTGAAATTGAAAAACTATATTTTAATGGAATTTTTTTTTGTTCGAGAAATTAAAAAATGACTTTATAAACGGTGGTTGGGAAACAGCTAGTTTCCCAATTTTGTGTGTTCTCATTTCAAAATTAAGCAAAGCTGAACAATGTGAACCAGTCGGTGCCAAATCAAACGCTGTTAATGGACGTAACTCTGACGGCGAGGATTACGGCACTCTCGCTTTAATCTGCACCAATTTAAAAAACATGAAACATCATCCAGGTCCAGGTTGAGATATAATGATGTTTCCCTATAAGTGAATGATTTAAGGACTCGTGTTGTTTGCACTGACATTGTGTGTTCGGATGCTGTCACATGTTGTTCAGCAGGATGAAGCATCAGCTGGAGCCTGGAGGCCGTTATACGTTACGTAACACTCACTTAGCTAACGACAAAATAATCCACATCAGGCAATAAAAGTTTTATTTTCGGGGGAAAGTGGTTTCTTCAGACGTCAGGAGGGCGTGCCGAGGTTCACCTGGTCTCTCCTTCTTCTTTGGTGGTGGCTGCTGGCTGTTTCCTGTGTGTAGTGTTGTGTAATGTGTCGACTGCTGACCGCCTGTTTGCCTCTTTTACAGATCTCCGCACTACGCCTGCCCAGAGGTTATCAGGGTAAGTGCTCGCTCTCTTTCATACAGTAATAGCAGCTCCGACCGCTCTCTCGCCACAATGGCTCTTACATCACCTCTCCGTCCTCCGACCATAGACCATTCATCCTCCTCTTCCTCTTCCTCTGAGCTGAAACACACTTTAAACACAGTGAAAAGAACAGCTGCTTGTGACGCAGTATCTAATGCACATAACACAGATAAAGCTTCCTGATTCAGTTTATGTTATTTAAAAAATGGATGTTTAGTTTTAAGGTTAATAACTCCAATATGCTTGGTTGTGTATTTGTATATTTGCCCTCAATTATCCCCTTTTTCTGTTTTTATGTCTACATATACAAATAGATTGACTCTGCATGTTTATTCAATATGTATTTGGTTACATAATCTGCCTGAAACAGCTATTTCTCTCATTTTAATCTGATATTTTACAGTAAAATTAATATTTAAAAGCCCACATAATATGAAAAATGCCTTTTTTAAAATCAATTTACATCACATCCCTGGTCATATTGTATCCTTATTTAAACATTTAATACTAAAACTTTTTTTAAATAAATATTTTTGCACTCTTATATTAAAATCTAATCTTTGTTCTTTTGTCAAACAGAATGTGATTTGTGCTTATGTAAACTTGAACCAACCAATTTCCAAGTTTCTAAGTTAGGTAACAGCAGCTACATTAGCAGTTAGCGGAGGACGTCAGAGGGAAAACAATATTCTCTCCATAAAAAAAGTTGAAGATTGATTGACGGGTGAATGATTGATATTATTGGTTGAAATCAGTTAGTTCATGCTGACTATATTTAGTTTTACAGGCAGACACAATGATTGGATTCTGATATAAAAATACAAATAAATTGAGTTTTTAGTGAATGTTTTTGTTAAATATGGGAATAATATAATAATTTGATCTTAAAGGGTTAAAATGACATTTTTCATTTCACCTGGACTTTAATTTCAGCACCTTGACATCCTGTCTCTCTCTGTGGGAAACACAGGAAATGATAACTGACACACAGTCAGACGAGGGAGACCAGAAAAAGAAAATTCAAACATCCTAAAATAACCCCCACAGTGCAGTCGGCATCTCAAATTGCTGATGTTACATGGAAGGAACATCCATATATGGTTGGATTTCTCTATTAAGTGAGGCGCCACGGCTCGTTGCAGTCGGAGGTGATTTGGGAAACTGGAGTTTATGATGTGAGTGTGTTTGTGTGTCTGTAACAGGGGGAGAAGTACGACGGCAGGAAAGCAGACGCGTGGAGCTGTGGAGTCATCCTGTTTGCACTTTTAGTGGTGAGTGACAGCAGCCTCGAAAACTGACTTTTGAAATGTTTTTTTACACAGAAACACCAGAGCGCTAACGTTCGTACCACCAGGGGGTGCTAACGAGGTGTTACTGTCCGATAGAAGTTTATTATTCACCGTCTGTGGAGCTCCAGGATTTGGTTTTCGGGTTGTCTGTCCGTCTGATTAATCCTTCCTGAGCGCTATATCTCAGGAACGTCTGGAAGGAATTTACATCCACTTGGACTCAAGGATGAACTGGTTAGAAGTTGCAGACATAATATAAAATACAAACGACAGATGGAGGCCTATCAGAAGACTACAGATCTAGATTCTGTGATCCTGATCTTGTGCTATCTGGATCAGGATGATCATATGTGGAAAAAAACTGGACAAAAACCTACAAAATGAGTTTTATCTGAGCAAAATGTGGATGGTTGTGATCTAGATCAAAGTTTTTAAATACTGGGGCCTGGTGATAATGAAAGTGGATTCAGGCAGACGTTGAGCTCTAGATGAGTTAACTCTGGTTTCATTTTAAAGTAGTGATAAGAGAGTTTACCTGGGTTTTATACACCACTGCTACGTAGCTCTCACACATCCAACAGCTAACTAACTAGCTAGCTAACCAAAACAGGAAGGAAGTAGTAATGAACCTGAACAACTTGTGCTAAAAAGTTTAGTTTAAATACGCGTCTAAAAACCGCTGTACCACAAGAAAACAGTGGTTTTGCAAGCGTTGCCTATTTAAATATTTGAACCTTCGCTAAAGGTAATTAAAAGAGTATCTAAGTTAGCTATCAGGCTAAATTCTTTAGCTTACTAAGAAAGTTATAATGTCACCTACAGTTTATATCTTAAGGATTCTTGAGATTCTGAAATTAAAAGTAATATTTAGGACTCCTTTAACTGGACTGGTTTCTCTTTTATTCTGTTTATAATTTATGAGTTAGGGCAGACAGACCTGTTCACTGGGTTGTGCTGCAGAGTTTGTTCCTGATATTTATGCTGAATGAACTCTTTATTTGTTCCCAGCAGAATATCCAAGGTGAACAGAAAGGTCGCTGAAATGTTTCAGCACAAAATAAACTACCTGACAACAGCACCTGTCCTGGGAATTAAAGGTTAACATCCAAACACACTTTATGACGGGAACTCTGAGTGCTGTTAATACTGAAGGTCACTCCATAAAGTCCATCTAACATCTGTACGTCTGCTTGTCAGCAGCAGCCGGCGTTCTTTACAGCAGCCGGGGTTAAATTAAAGATGAGATACTGCAAACACATTGTGTTCCAATAAAAGATTAAAGGCACATTATAAATTAAATGAGCCCGGTCCCGACAGAAACTAACATGTCTTTATTTATTGACTAAATGTTCCAAAACTGTAGAAAGTCTGAATCAGTACGGCTGCACATTTACGATATTAATTTAATTACTTAAATATATTTAAATCTGAACAGTGGCCTACACCTGCTCCGGTTCTGTGGCTCATTCGGGCCCTGCTTACTGGCAGTATTCCCCACTGGGTCCCCCTGGACTACCATTGTCCTTCCAGCTCCCAGTCCGGGTACAGAATAGCTAATAGGACCGCTAACTAGTTAATACCAGCTAGCACAGTTAGCATATCCAGCAGTTCAGCGGTAAGAGACTTCCTGTGTTACAAGAGAAAAGGTCCGTGTTGCAACAATCCTCTAATACCTGAATGGAGTTTGACTAACTTTCAAAATAAAATACCGCTTGCAGACTCCAGATTTTAAACTACATAAAGATATAAAGACGTAGCCGCGTGAATTTCGACTCTTTTCAGCATCTAACGATTAATACGACTATGAATGACTGAATTTCACGCTTCCATTAGTAAAACAAACAAAAATTTGTATTAAAAATGTTAGAAAAACATCACAAGGAGGAATTTGTGGCGCCATCTGACCTCTGCCAGCTGTGTGACCTCTGCCTGTTTTGCCTGGTTGCTTTATTTAAGTAAAGACGAGGAATTCCTTTTTAAAAATAGTGAACTCAGACAAACATGATACCCAATGATAAAAGCTAAGAGATTAAAGTGCTCCAGGCTCTAAACGTCAGCAGCAGCATTATAATGCGACAGTGACAAGTGAGGAGCCACTAAACGAACTATGTGCACACGCGTGTTCGTCTCTTGATTAAGACGGAGCACACAAAGCAGTCATCATGTGAAGATAAATCTCTCCACCCGTGTTGTTTTGATTACCCACGCAGTGTCAGTGGCCATCTGGCTCTCAACGAGGAGGAAACGGTATCAGTCATCACGTCACTGAGCGCTCTGAGCCGGCTCTGCTCCCCAGCTGGAGAGCAGGAGCCGGCCGGCTGGCTGCGACACAAAACTGCTTCATCATCACCGACTCTGATGACTGATATCTCACAAACTGCTCCTCTTTGTCAAAATCCAGATCTCAGTGAACACCTGACGTCCATTTACAGGACAACAGGAGGATGTCAGTGTGTTGTGAGATCTGATGAAGGTTGATGCCTTCATCAGATCTCACAACTACAGAGGCTCATTTCTGCCAATGTGACAAAAAAAACACATTCACAGTCTCCAGTGGATAATTATATTAATGTTATATCATATTAATATAATTTAGTTTTGACCCCCTGACACAGATTTTCAGGACAAAGTTGACTAATGTCAGTTTCACCAATTTATTCTGGCCACAAACATGCTATCATCTTGAACTAGGCTGAAATGTTCAGATGTTTCACAGCTAATCTGTGTCAACATTTCGGCCTAATTAGAAACAATAAAATATACATTTTATGGCCAGACAACCATGCTAATGTTTCAGCCTAGTTAGCATTGTTAGCATGCTACAAAGGAGCATAGATATACAGTATGGATTCAAAATGGGTAAAAACTTTAAGAACAGAACCAGAAACTTGAGTTTTGGGTTAAAGGTTTTGTGTGAGGTGAATCGTGACCGTCCAGGTGAACAGTGACCATAATGCTCTGGTGCTTCCTCCCCTCCTCTTCCTCCAGGGCGCTCTGCCTTTCGACGATGACAACCTGAGGAATCTTTTGGAGAAGGTGAAGCTGGGAGTTTTCCACATGCCCCACTTCATCCCTCCAGACTGTCAGAACCTCCTGCGCGGTATGATCGAAGTGGACGCCACCAAGAGGCTCACAGTAAGCTCCTCGCCTCCCCTCACCGGCCGGCAGGGCTGAAATCTTCCATCAGTGGACTGTTTCGTACAGTCGGCTGCCTGAGGGACTGCGCAGGATAAATTTAGCAGAACTGCACCATGACAAGGCCCCGCAGCTTCTGTGCTCGGCATACAATCCTTTCATCTCAGGCCAAGGATTTGTTTTGGCTTATAATAGAGACGGAAATAACAAAAGGGTGTATTTAGATAATGTGCTTTCACTTGTGTTTTGTCTGCAGTTATTTGAGCTTTGGAATAACAGCTGCAGCATCTGCTCGTCTTATAATGAATGTTTTAGCTCAGTCATAGCAGCTTGTCAGGAGGGTAAATTAAAGGTTACATACAACGAAATACACAACTATATGTCGCTCTAACATCTCAGACAATCCCTTAATTCAAAGAGTTAGATGTGAGATATTTGCAGATAGAGCTGCAGTGACCACATTGTTAGATAATCCTTGTGGCTCCCCACCAGACTCCATAGACAAAAACGGTAATTTTAACTTGCATATCATTGTAACATAGCGTCATTCAAAGTGGACAGAAACAAAATAAAACTCATTTTGGTGTAAATATATTTCAATACAAGCATCTTGTTTGTTTCACTTATGAATAAAAGAATAATTAATGTTTATTTCCTTTGATTTCTCTTACAGTTAGAGCAGATCCAGAAGCATACGTGGTACCTGTAAGTATCCACCTGTCACTTATTTCCTGTCTGTCTGTGTCTGTGTGTCCACATTAAGTGAGCTGCAGGTAATAAAGAATAATAATGATTCACTCATCAAAGGCAGTTTCTGGTCCATTAGAGAACATCTGCACCGCTCCTGATGGCCCGCTGATCTCTGAAGGATTTACTGTTTCTGGGTTTCAACCAAACATCAGCAAACTGATATTTTATTAAATGTTGAATATCACTTTGTACACTGACAGCTTTAACCCTGTAATTACGACCATATTTAGCATGATAAGGAAAAGCCCCACAGATTTATTGTGCTTTAATTTATTCTATTTTACAAAAAACACCGTCCGTTTTTGCTTCTTTTGGCACAATTTCATCTAATCTTCACCAAAATCGGTGCATAATATATTTAGATGAATCCAAACAAGACTTATAGTTTAATGTTTACATAGATATATATATGTATAAACACTAAACACTATATAGCTTTATCACTTCTTATAAATTAAATAATTGGTTACCAGACTTTTGAAGGCGTGGCCCTGATGCAGTTAATGGGCCACAACTCTGGATTTCAACCAAATTCGGGGATATTGTACATAAAGCCACAGAACACTTTTCAAATAGAGCAGGTCTACACCGTACTCCTTATACAATTATTTACAGAGATCCAACAGTTCCCACATTGAGCGCAACCTTGGTGATGGCGGCAAGGAAAAACTTCCTTTTAACAGACAGACCTCGACTCTGGGTGGGCGACCAGTCGGGCTGCCAGCTAATTTACATCTTAGTCTACATTTCTTTGTGCGTTCAAATACCAATATAATAATAAATAATAATACATTTTATTTATAATGCCCTTTTCATCAAAAAATCTCAAAGTGCTACAGGTTAGAAACAAAAAAAGATAAGAAGTTTTAAAAAAAATAAGAAAAGGAGAAAAGAATAAAAAAGAATAAAGGTTTTTTAAAAAAAAAAAGAAAACCATCTTAAAGGGACCAAAAGCTTTGCTAAAAAAAGAAATGTCTTAAGATCCTTTTTAAAACAGTCAGTGGATTGTGGTGCCCTCAAGGTGTCAGGGAGGGCATTCCACAGACGTGGGGCGGCAGCACAAAAGGCCCATCTCCCATGGTCCTGAGTCTGCTACTGGGTATGTGGCTTAAACCTGCCACTCACCGCTAACATGTTGTGTTTCAGAGCCGGAAAGAACGAGCCGGAGCCCGAGCAGCCCGTCCCGAGGAAGGTGGCCATCAGGATGCTGGCTGCGGCCGAGGAGATCGACCCCGACGTCCTGGAGAGCATGCACTCTCTGGGATGCTTCAGAGACAAGGAAAAACTGACCAAAGACCTGCTGTCTGAGGAGTGAGTGAGGAGGAGGAGGATGGGGGAGGCGATAAAACCACAGAGGAAGCAGATTAGAGAGGGAGGGAGGGCGGGATGAAATATGTGAGACGGCTGAGAAATTGTCAGTTTGATGAATTCTTCTATTTAATATGTCTTGTGATGATGGAGCATCACACTGTCCCGCTCTTAACGAACGGGCTGACTGTCTTCTGTTTCCAGGGACAACCAGGAAAAGATGATCTACTTCCTGCTGCTGGACCGCAAGGAGAGGTACCCGAGCCACGAGGACCAGAACCTGCCGCCCCGCAATGAGATTGGTATGCCAGTCCAGCAGAACTCCACCAAACACAGCCGACTGATTCAGTACACTTTGGTTTATAAGCAAAAAAAACATATGTAGAATTCAGATACATGGCTCTAAAAAGTCCAGATTTGGTTTTGGTGTTTAGTTATCTTTTAATCAAGATAAAAAACTTTTCCTTACTTTTGGAGATTTGTTTTTCTGACTAGTTTTTTGTGCTTGTGTTTTTCCTTTGGTGCCCTTTGACCCCTGACGTCGCTCAGCAGACCCTCCCAGGAAGCGTGTGGATTCGCCCATGCTGAGCCGTCACGGTAAGCGCAGACCGGAGAGGAAGTCCATGGAGGTGCTGAGCGTCACGGAGGGAGGATCTCCCGTACCGGTGCGACGAGCCATCGACATGGCGACCCACGGACAGAGGTAAGAAAGAGGCTGCTCGGATTCTGCACGTGTGTTCATGAGCATGAACGAACACGTCTGACACACACAGGTCAATCAGGAAGTTTAATTGATGACGGTTGTTATCGGTTATGATAAATTATGTATTTAATCCCAGTTCAGAGAGGAGGAGGTTCAGCTCAGCAGCTCTTCATCAAATTCATGTCACACGCCGTCTGTTTGCCCTCGACCTCCGCCCAATGTCAGTCCACCGCTGTAAATCCCTCCTTCCTCCACTGAACTGCGGTTGAATACATGACGCATCATTCTCTCTTCAACACGTACAGTTCATATCACACGAGACCTGACGTGAACTCTGCCGGAGACCCAACAGTGCGCGCTCAGCTCTGGTTACATTAAAATGCATGAGCGGGACTGTCAGGTTGGTGTGTGTAAAGTGTGCATGGAGCATGCAGTCCGAGAGGCTGTGAACCAAACATGTATTTTGGCAAGTTGGTGCATAAAGGTTGTAACCTGAACAGTCAGAATGTTATTTAAAATGTGTGAAAGCAGCATCAAAAATACAGAATATAAGTTTTATTCTAGGTATGAACAGTAATTATTAGTTTGTACATTTTGTGCATCTTGCATGCCAAACCTGGATTTTTTCAAGTTGTGGCACGAACAAAAGAAACTGCACGCTGTAGCTTTGGGTATAATCTAATAAAAGTTTCCTTCATGTTTTAGTCCAGTTACTAATTTACTGTGGTGCTTTCAAGAGGTCCTCCTATGACTGTACTGTGGTGACACACATCAATGCTGCTCTTAAAATGGACATTATTAGCCATATATGGAAATCTGCACTTTAAATGTCCCAACACGCCCTCTACTGCTGACATAGAGTCGACCATTTAGGATGACTTTACGTCAGACATTTATATAAAACAATTAACTACAACACAGCCACTTCAGCTACAACTACGTTAGCTTAGCTATGAACAGGTAGCAGACAGAAACTTTTACAAACAGTGTGAATGTGCTTCTAGTGACTGTAAAATCTCTAGTGAACTCTGTGTTTCCAGCACGGACCCTGAGAGTCTGACAGCAGCTGCTCATTAGCTTTGTTAGCTCTGTTAGCTCTGACTACCAGCTCATCACAACCCTTAAAGTTACTGTCCTTTGCAGGTCTCTAAAGCTTTTATTAAATTTGAGGAAGCCAGCAGAACTGAAGGGTGGAGTTAAACTTCTGAACAAGCTCACTTCATTCATGGTTTTGTTTTCAAGGTTAATTTAAAAAAAAACAATATTGCTGCACTCGGTCGAGACCAACAAGTCTGAGAACGGACTGATGACTGGAAGTTAATGAGCATAAAAACCCTGTTTAAGGGCTCTTGTGTTTGTTGAGTTGAGTAACTTCAGGCAGTCGGTCTTTGAGGTGTTTCTGAGCTGGATCTATAAATATTATTACATTTTCATTAAATGTAAATATCTGAATATGTACTGAAGGACAGAGACTTTTATTCTCTCTTCTACTGAGTCAACAGCATGGTACCGACAGACGGGATTAAAGTACGGCAGCGAAACAACGTGAAACTGATCATAAAGAGGAAATACAGTAAACACTAAATAAAAGATTAAACATGAAAGATTAAAAGAAGGAAACATGAACATATAAAAGATTGACGTCACATTAAAAGCAGCTGGAATAAAGTTGAAGGATTTAACACAATTTGCATTGAATCTGTGTTTAATAGGTCGTTGTTACTGCAGTCAGCAGGGCACAATTATAACAGAAATCTGTTAAAAAATTTTTTAGTTTTACCTTTAAACCTCCTGCAGGAACTGCTTTCATCCTCATTCTGTACAATTTTAAACTGTATTTCGTTCACATTTTTAACCAAATTAAGACCTCTTCTGCTAATGAAGCGGAACTTACACTGCAGTATTTATATATGAATTTATTCCGTTAACTGTCATTTAAAGGTCAGCTGTCCAAAAGCAGAGCAATAAATCTGCTCTGACATCCTTCATAATCTTCATCATTTAAAGCCTTCAAACTGAGACGCAGTCATTTCACATCAGTTTCATCTCAGGGTCAGTCACAGGCAGAGCGAGTGGAGCTCAGATCCACATGAAAGTCTGACTCTAATGTGGACTTTAATGAGGACTTAAATGTGGACTTAAATGTTAACTTTTATGTGGACCTGAGGCCTCGGCAGCAGATAGTTTCCACCAGTTTCAGTACAGAGAAGGGGGAAGAGGGAGAGTTCAGGTTAAAGCTGCTCACTAAAAGTTAATATGAATTAACGCTAATCAAGGAAATGTAATCAACATTATATGACACAAGGCTGCATAACAAAATTAAAGTCTTTAGTTCCTTCATGCTACACACAGAAAAGATAAATAAAATACAATCACATAAACAATATATAGTTATTTCTATACAAATATATACAGGAAATGATTCTGCATCTTTTGCATTTGTGTGTGGTTGAATGTAAAAGCTCCATGCAGCATGGCTCCTATTCGGGTCTCTGCCTCTCCTCTTGGGGCTACAGCACCAACTGTTGATGGGCTGGTCCCGTCCGGTTGATCTGGATCGTCCTCGAGGTCCTGCTGCTCTTTTTTTTCTGTTTTAAACTAAAGAGACATAAAGTTAAAGGTTTGCTGTGCAGGATCTTCCTTTATGACCATGGTTGTGTAAAGAGACCTGGATACAGCATTGGAGGTAGCGCCATGTTCATTCGAAATCCGAAAACAGCTTCCTGATTTCTCATTTCATCAGAACAGAAAACCTTTTTTTTCATTTTCTGGTTTTAATTTTAAAATAAAATACAGAAAACTGGTAGTTTTTAAATTTTTATTTTTTAATTTCTAAATAAAATACAGAATATGGATAGTTTTTTCAGTTTCCATTTGTATTTTCTCACATAAAACGAGTCGTTTTCTGTTTTTTGTTCCTCTGTATAAATTGTAGTCAGGAAACAGCTCGTTTCCAGATTTAGTTTTTCTCTTTTTGAACTAAAACCCGTTGGCTGCACAGTACTCTGACCCTTCACAAATCCAGCAGGATGACCCAGAGTCCTTCCTGTCACAGTCTGGTCGGCTGATCCGCTGTGTCGTTACGTTTCTGAAGGCGTCTCCTCGCTGATGAGTGACTCAGCGGAGATAATAAAGTCGAACATGAGACCGCGTAAACAAGTTCCAGGAGGTCGTTTCTCCACCGCAAGGATGCTGAACATCCCGCTGACTCGAGCATGACCCATGAATGTGTTCCTCCTCCTGGTTTCTGTCCTCTGGTTTCCGTGCATGTTGAGAGTTTGGAGATTCTTTTCGTTCTGCGGTGCTGGATTTGTTCCAGGGTTTGTTTTTTCTGCATGCTGTACTTTAGGATTCCCCTTATGTGACTGCCTTTTCTGTCTGTCTCTTGATTTTCTGTCTGCCCCCTTTTTAGCAAATCTGTTTTCAGTAAAAGCTTGGATATCACAAACGCTAACTGCAGCAAGGAAGAAAGGTATTGGTCGGCTCCGTCCGTCGTTTGTTTGTAGTGTCAGATCCATTTTGTCCCTTCATTGTTACCATCCATGACTTTAGTTTTCTTTCTGTTAGCATTCAGTGCTTGCTAACGTTGTCTTTCACTGTTTAATGTAGCATGTTATTTAAGTTTCTGTTAGCAGTGACATCTGAACAAACTTTACTGTAGAAATCTGACTTTTAAATCTTAAAACTTTCTAACAAAATCTAACAATATGTGAGAGTCTGTTTATATAATGACGTAATGCGAAATGCTAAATGAGTTTTATAATTTTAGTGGATACAAAACCAAAGCAAAACCTCTTGTCTGCCATAAATACCAGTGTACACATATAAATCTATAAAAAAACATTTTTCATTATGCCTGACTTTTTATTTGATTTGATTTCCAGCGCCTGTGGTTTTTTACACTACAAAAAATCTGCAGAAAAACACAGAAAATCATCAATTTAACCGGTTGTCTTACAAAAATATGTCTCACGATTAACTTGAATTCAGTGTCAGTGTCCTGAAATGTCTCGAAAATCAACTCACAACCAAAGAATATGCTTATGAAACAGAGGGGTAGGACAAAGGTCACCAGCTGGAATCAAACCATGGACATATAAAAGATAAACGTCTCCACTTCTTCCCACTGATCAATAATGAAGCCAGAATATCTGGATACTGCCGTCTTTCTGCAACACTTGAACAAACATCAGCGTGATAAGAACGACAGAAACTATCTCTGGGAAACATTTATTTGAATTTAGATTTTTGTTTCTGCTAACATGGAGACAGCAGCCACCAGGGGGCGATATAGATGCTTTACCTTTTGGAGAGCTGCTCATGTCGTCCAACTTTATATACCATAAAACTTCTAATACAAGCAGAGTCCCAAATAGAAGCAGGTCTCCTTTACTAGCCTGGTGTGGCTGTACGTTTTATTGGACAAATAAAACCTCTTAAAGCCCAACGGGTCGTCCACTTGAGCTTTCCTCCATTATTTATATTCCTTTAGTCCATAAGGACTCGCTGTCTGTACGCTGGGTGCCGTAAATCGATCAAGTGTCATGGCGGCGCATAATTCCAGCTGTTAGTGGTCAAATTTGCTGAATGAAACTCAGGAGAATTTGATGGTTTTTCTTTTTCGAGCAAGCGTTTAGTGCTAAAGGAATTAAAGGCAGAGTTCAGTGATTTAAAGAAATAAACGCTGTTTACGGTGTGTGGATGGATGCAACCAGGATGCAAACAGCCAAACACCAACAACGTGTTGAGTATCGGATCCAAACGGCACCAACTTCCATCCTCGGGGTGAATTAAACATTAAAACTGTGTTTCTGTGAGAGGAGGCAGAATTTTCTCCCCCAACCCTCGAGGGCAAAGAGAATTTTTAGGTCAACTTTTCCTTCCTCCCATCTTCTCCCCCCCACCGTGTGTTTATGTTTGTGCCAGTGCAGCATGGGGAGGGGTCATTTTCATCATCCGAGCCGTCTCCAGCCTCCCCGTGCGGCGACTGACCTTGCCCCAGGAAGAAAACAACGCTTGTCGATGTATCCGCGGCCCGCGGATGGAGATTAGCATAAATTAATTGCCAGGAATGCAGACAATATCTCGCTCATCGTCTAATTGGGGAGATCCATAAAACGGAGCTTGTGTCGCTGCCTCGCTGGCACGACGATGAGCCGTGAATTCATTTTGAGATTCAAAGAGTAGCTTCCTGATTGTGGACTGGATGGGTGTCACAGTTAATGAGCTGCATGTTAATGCGTCTGTGGAGTGTGTGACAGCGTGAAGAGCCTCCTCGCCGCCATTAATGGAGCGTCATCGTGAGCCGGCAGCACTTCCTGTTAGTTAAACACAGTAGATACAGAGAGAGTGTATCACGCTAACAGTCTGAGGCTAAAGCTAACAGGTTCCAGTGTTTATATATTATATATCATATTCTAATGAGGAAATGTTCCTTATTATATATTTAAATATTAGATATTGATCAGTGATTGATTGTCGTTAGCCTGCTGGAGCTCATTGGTACGTTCATGTGTTTGTTCAGTGAAGACGATCAGAGAAACATAATGTGTTATTGTGAGAATGAAAAGAGCGATAATGAACGCCACTAATGTGTGTGTGTGAGAGAGTGTGTGTGTGAGAGTGTGGGTGTGTGTGTGTGTAAGAGTGTGTGTGTGAGAGTGTGTGTGTGTGTGAGTGTGTGTGTGTGTGTGTGTGTGTGTGTGTGAGAGAGTGTGTGTGGGTGTGTGTGTGTGTAAGAGTGTGTGTGTGTGAGAGAGTGTGTGTGTGTGTGAGAGTGTGTGTGTGTGTGTGTGTGTGTGTGTGAGAGAGTGTGTGTGTGTGTGTGTGTGTGTGTGAGAGTGTGTGTGGAGTGTGTGTGTGTGTGTGAGAGTGTGTGTGTGTGTGTGTGTGTGTGAGAGTGTGTGTGTGTGTTTGTGTTATTTAATTATGATTTACTGTTTTTCATTTTTCACTTCCAACAAAAGCCAAATTGTCTTTGGACAATTAAATCTCAAAGTCTGAGAGAAAGACAGACAGACAGAGAGAGAGAGAGACAGACAGAGAGAGAGAGAGACAGACAGATATGGAAAGTTAATGATTCGTAAATGAAAAATAGAGAAAAAAGAAACGGTGCTAATGAATTTTGCAGCCGTGTGTGTGTGTGTGTGTGTGTGTGTGTGTGGTATAATGCTGACATGTCTGAACTATTTATAGATATATTGACTTTAACCCAGGATGTTGCTCATGTTCTGAGTGTTAAATGTGAACAGGAATCAGTGTGTGTGTGTGTGTGTGTGTGTGTGTGTGTGTGTGTGTGTGTGTGCCACACAGTCTGAGGTCTGTAGGTCGATCGTTGCCACAGACGCCTTTCATACATTATTATTATTATTATTAAATATATAAATTATAGAGCTTTAAAAGCTGCAACCCAGCCGACAGTTAACCTGCAAACTGCTAGCCAGTGTTTTGATACGTTAGCTAGCTAGCAATTCTTCTGTGTTAGCAAGCGAGCTAACGTTAACCAGCTAAAACCCAATGTGACGATATGTTCCACGAGCAGTGACGTTAGCTTTGACTTCGGACTTTGTGGTTAAGTTTTTATGGTTATTGTTTGTTTCATTTTAATGTTATTTTGTCTTGTTTTTCTGTTTTTCTTTTACATGTGTGAAATAAATATAAACAAACAGTATTTTGCTAGCAATAATGTTAGCGAGCAAGCAAGCTAAGGTTAGCACGATTCCTCAATGTTAGTTAACTTCGTAGATACAGAGAGAGGGAAGTGTTGACACTGTTGGCGCTGTAGGGAAGTGTTGACACTGTTGGCGCTGTAGGGTAGTGTTGACACTGTTGGCGCTGCAGGGAAGTGTTGACACTGTTGGCGCTGTAGGGAAGTGTTGACACTGTTGGCGCTGTAGGGTAGTGTTGACACTGTTGGCGCTGCAGGGAAGTGTTGACACTGTTGGCGCTGCAGGGAAGTGTTGACACTGTTGGTGCTGCAGGGAAGTGTTGACACTGTTGGCGCTGTAGGGTAGTGTTGACACTGTTGGCGCTGTAGGGAAGTGTTGACACTGTTGGCGCTGTAGGGAAGTGTTGGCGCTGCAGGGAAGTGTTGACACTGTTGGCGCTGTAGGGAAGTGTTGGCGCTGCAGGGAAGTGTTGACACTGTTGGCGCTGTAGGGAAGTGTTGACACTGTTGGCGCTGTAGGGAAGCGGAGAGCTCATTGAGTTTGTGTATAAGGTTATTTTTCAGAGTAAATATAAACAAATATTTATGTTTTTAAGTTACGGTACAACCTGATTAATGCATAAAAATAATACGTAAGTTGTGAGCAAGGAAATAAAGCAAGAAGCGTCTTTTTAAACCCGTAACACCTCCGTTGAACCCTAACCCTAACCCGTTAACAAGGTCGAACTCATCAGAACAAAAGACGCGATCAATATTAATGTTTGACTCAGTTAATGGATAAAACAAACAGAAGATTTGTCCTCATTTGAGACCAAAATAAGCTTCAATCTGCTGTTTGGGGATTGTGTTTGTTCCTGTTGTTGTTGTTGTGGTTGTTGTTGTTGTGTGTGAACCAGTGTGTAGTTGTGTGTGTGTGTGTGTGTATTGATCTGACTGATCTGTGTTTGTTTAGATCGCGATCGATCAGCGGAGCGTCCTCCGGTCTGTCCACCAGTCCTCTCAGCAGTCCCAGGGTGAGTCTCCGTCCTTCCCACAATGCACCTCACTGGCTGGCCTCCGCTGGTTAATGCTCACACACACACACACACACACACACACACACACACACAGGAAATGTAGGAACTGATCTGATGTCAAAATAAATTATAATTCTGTTGTTTTTGTATATTTTAGTTAATTAGATCAGCTGTTCGTTATCGTACCCCCACAGTTCGGTTCCTCTTCATCGATAACAGCCATCGTGTTAGTTTGAATGTATTTCAAACTTCATATTATAAAGTTTTACAGCTGAACTTCACATTTTTAGGTCAGCTTGAGTGGAAAAAACTGGACATTTCAGCCGTTTATCCACTGCTTTTTGTCACCATTTAGCTAGCCGTTTTATGGAACTATTTAGACTGTTTATTCGTTACTTAAAGCCGCTACTTTAGGTCTTTAGTGTATTATCTAAACCTTTTTCCTAACAATTTAAAATGTTTAAAATGTTATTTTATGTTTTTAACAATTTATTAATTAATTAAACTACTTCAAAGTGTATGCACTACTTTTTTCCATGATCTTTAGCTGATTTTAACCATTTATCAGGTGCTTTTAGCTATTTATTTAACCAGTTAAGCATTACAGTTATAAGTTATGGACAAATAGTTGAAATACCATAAAAATATTATCAAAATAAAAATATTTGGAAGAAAGGGGAAAGAAGAAAAGTATAATTAGAATAATGTTCAGGAGGTGTTTACTGAACTTTACTTTATATTAATGATTTAGAATAAAGTGGCAGCTGACTGTATTTTAATATCTTTTAAAATAATTATATAATTACGGTGTGACAATATGTCTAATAATGTAGCTCTAACTCTATAGAGCGGACTGTGATTAAAATACAGGTTCAGACTTTATATTTTATCCCTCAAGCTTTAGTTTTACCGTCATAAATCGTTAAGTTTGTGGTGAAGTTCTGACACAGCCGGCTGTGTAATAATGAAGAAATAAATCAAAGGCTGGATGGTCCTTTGATTTCTGTCTGATGACAACAGATTTCCACAGCGAGACGCTTCATTATCACGAATTTGTTACATCAGATTCGTTTGCTGTAGAACTTTAGATGAAGTGGGACCGGATCCGTTAGGGCCAAAAACACCATATCCTCATTATCCGTCCACTTTTTATTAATTATGGGGTGTTTACAAAGTCATCACGCCTCATGCAAGAACATTTTATAAACCTTTTTCCTGTCAGGTTGTTCGAATTCACTAAACTTTAACTTGATGGACGTCACCTATTCATTAGCACGTTTGTGACATTTGATCAAAACTGACGGCCTCAAATTGTTTGTGGTCAGATATTTTATTTAGAAAAGTGTTTAGAGTAAAATAGAAGTAAGTAGTACTAGCTACTAGCTGACAGCATCAAACATTACTGTCGGGGGCAGTTAGCTTCTTTTCAAGTCACCTCGGCACCGCTGTCGCCAAACTGCCCCAATCGGTTGCACACTCACGGCAGCTACTGTAGCAGAAGGTAGAAGACTGATAGATGGGTGAATGTCATAATATTATTGGTTGAAATCAGTTAGTTCATGCTGTGAGCACGCGTCACATTTTGGATTCTGATATAAAAGTGGAAATAAACTGAGTTTTTGTGAATGTTTTTGTCGTACATTGTTAAATATGTGAACAATATAACTGAGAATGTGATTTTAAAGGGTTAAAATGACATTTTCCATTCACACCTTCTCACCGTCCGCTGAGATAACGGACAGTTTCACCTCATGTAAAGTCCTCACATGCTTTCTGATGTTGTTCTGAGAAGAGACTGACTGTGTTTATCAGATCATTCATCCCACAGCATTGTGCATCAGCACTGTGCATGAACTCTGGCCGCTGTCCCGCTGGAGGGCGAAGCTAAAGCCGTTAGCTTTCGAGCTGGTTCACTTGCTGGTAATCAGGGATGCACCGAGGTATCGGACAGCGAGCACCAACTAAAGTCCGGATGATTCCCTGGTTTTAAGATGTATCAGGGAAATAATGTAAATTTAACACATTAACTTAGATTAATTGTACAAATAATGTTATAAAACGTAAATATTAACATATCATTTAATGATCTGTTATGTGATTGGCATAAGTTCAAAAGAGAAAGACTTGTATTTGGAAAAATATCTTAAGAATTGGAAATAAAACGTATATATTTTATATATATTTATATCTAATGTTTTACGAATGTGTCACAATAATGTTTCTGAGTTCAAATATCTTCATTTGGAGGATTTTCCAAGTAAATATTATTATATGTGTGATTATCTGTGATTGAATTCCAGATCCGACCCTGAAACTAAATATCTTAATTATTGATTAATCTGATCACAAAAAAATTTGAAAATGTTGACGATGCAAAAATATTCATAAGCTGAAATCTGAGAATTTGGACAATTTTGGACAAAACATTTGATCAAATATGATCATTCTAGTTTACATTAGTTGATTATTGATTAGTTGCCAACAATTAAATTAATCAGCTATTAGAAAACACAAATTCCTGAACACTGTCTGACTTTATTAAGTCAATCATCCTATTTAGTTTAGTTTAGTTTCTATTGAAATAAAAAGAGTAGCTCAAATATAAATAGATCACTTCCTGGTTTCAAACTTTCACCAAATTTAATATCTGACAGAAAATAATGAAAAGCCTCGATATAGGAGAGAAAAATGGATGTAATGTGTCGTTGTTTTACTGTACCAGTGAGGACCGATGTGATCTCGGTGCATCCCTCTGTTAATGCTCCATGAATGCTCCACTGCTGCCTCCTGATTGGCTGATCACTGATCCACTGCTGCCTCCTGATTGGCTGATCACTGTGCTAATCGCATGTTCTGTTTTTCTTTCTTTCTTGCACTCTCACCACTTCCTGCCTGCTCCACCTCTCAACCCATCCGCCACGCTCCTCTTTTATTTCCTGCTCTGTTATTTTTTTATTTTTTTATTTTTAAATGGGAATGATTATCGGCCCTCTCTCTCATTGGCTGCCGTCATGTGTTAACGGTGCATGACCGACCAATCGCAGCCCAACCGGCGGTTTTTCATCCCGCCCCAGTCCCCAGACCTGTGTCAGTCCCCCAACTGCAGCCCCACCCACTCCACCGAGGTCCGCCTTAACGGGGTGGGGCCACGCACGCCCAACTCCTACCAGCCAAAGATGGGGTCCCCCCTCATGCACCCCCGCACTCAGACCCTCCCCGCCAAGCCCAAAGTGTCCGAGAAGCCCCTGCAGACCACCAGGTCCAACCCTCTTCCCAACACAGCCCAGACCCCCAACACCCCCAAATCTGAGCCGTCCACGCCCTGCCAGCCTCTGGCGCCCTGCATCCCCAACAGCCCCCGGGTGAGACGCCACCCTCCCCTCACTGTCCCCCCCAAGCTCTCCATCCCCCTCTCGCCCGTGCCTCCTATGTCGCCCCGCCGCCGCCACCACCACCTCCACCCTGACCACAACGGCAAATCTGTCCCCATCACGCAGGTGACCCCCCACCCCTCCCCCAGAGGGAGCCCTCTCCCCACCCCTAAAGGCACCCCGGTGCACACGCCCAAGGACAGCCCGACCGGCACGCCCAGCCCAACGCCACCGCCCAGCCCCTCCATCGGGGGCATGCCCTGGAGGACACGCCTCAACTCCATCAAGAACAGCTTCCTGGGCTCGCCGCGCTTCCACCGCAGGAAAATGCAAGGTGGGTGAGGGAGGGGGAGGCGGGTGAGGGAGAGAGGGCGGGGGAAACTCGTGATTATTCAGATCTTTATGATGTTTATCTCGCCATTATCTGTGTGAGAATGGATTCAGAGTGTTTCTCTCGTGGCTCCAGGGAACAAACAGATCATCTCTTTGCTCTTAATGGAGGTATTTACCGGTTCACCTGCTGACAGCCTTATCGTGGCAAACAGACGCCGCCGGCCACGCCGCATACGAGATAACAATCTCATTATGGGGGGGGATTGCACATTTCTTCTGCCTTAGTTCAGGTGGTTTTACTACAGCTGCTCTGACATCAGATAATCTTATTTACATAAAGCACTAAAGCTGAGTTCACACTACATTATTATATTCTGTATGGATGATAGTGATCAGAATACACTGTATCTTTATGGATGATATTGATCAGAATACATTGTATCTTTATGGATGATATTGATCAGTATACACTGTATCTTTATAGATGATATATGGATGATATTGATCAGTATACACTGTATCTTTATGGATGATATTGATCAGAATACACTGTATCTGTATGGATGATACTGATCAGTATACACTGTATCTTTATGGATGATATTGATCAGTATACACTGTATCTTTATGGATGATATTGATCCTGTATTGACAGTCAGACTGTGGACATATGACGGCCTTTAGCTCGTGTTTCTAGAGTTACGTGTTGTTACGAACACGTTAGGAATTGTTAAAATGTGATATTTCTTAAAGGGAGTTTGGTGCAGGGAGCTTTTAGTTGGATTCAAACTGCTGATATGGATCATTGTTAACGTTTAGTCTCCACTACAGAAACACTAGCTAACTGCTAAAGGCTGATCAGTTTGTCTGATGGTGTTAGTTTTATTGATGCTTTAATTCAATTCAATTTTATTTGTATAGCGCCAATTCATAACAGAAGTTATCTCAGGACACTTTTCAAATAGAGCAGGTCTAGACCGAACTCTTTATAACATTTTTAATTTAATTAATTTAATAATGGGAGTATTGATTACTGACGCTGGCTGATCAGGATCATTATCAGCTATTGTACTGTAAATCGTTGCCCTTTCTACAGAATACATGTGAAGACAGGAAGTTGGTGTTGATCAGAGAAGATTTATGTAGGAGAGAAATCACCTACCTAACTCTGTGACCCTTGACCTTTTATTTCCACAGTTCCCACCCAGGAGGACATGTCCAGTCTAACTCCAGACTCGTCTCCAGAGTGAGTACACCAGAGTCAGGCTAAAAAAATGCTGTTTTAATGGAAACTTGCTGTGAACATTACAGTGTCCATCAAACATTTCCTTTACTTCATTTTGCTCAGATATAATCCATAAACACACATAAATAAATAAATAAAGTTAAAGGCACACTATGCTAGATTTGTACCTTAATATAACAGCTTCCAAGTCATTTCAATGGTAAACGAACTCGTAGTATAGCGAATCATCCCGATAGCAACGCTGGGGAGGGACGCTGCTGGCAGAACCAGCAATGCAAGTCTGAAGATGGCGCCCCGTCTAATCTAGCGAGAATCACAAATTGCTTTACGGTGCGACGTGACATACATCAGCGACATAAGAAGCAGCCTCAATGGAAGACGTTACCTGGTCAGTAGACATCCATCCTACTGAACATGTACCGGTATACAGGGGGGAGGGGATCAGGCTGTGAGTGCAGAGACGCAGAGCCGTATATAGAGACGGCTCTGGTGAGTGGTATTTACGACAGTTAACATTAAATACAAGTACTCCGCAGCGACACTAGGGGGAGCTGTTTGACAAAACCGGAAAACTGCATAGTATGGCTTTAAACTAGTTAAACTAACTAACTAATAGCAGCTAACACAGTACAGAGGTTCACTGTGGTCTGTCTCTGACCGTCTCCTCTCTGCAGGCTGGCTAAGAAGTCATGGTTTGGGAACTTCATCAACCTGGAGAAGGAGGAGCAGATCTTCATCGTGATCAGAGACAAACCTCTCAGCTCCATAAAGGCCGACATCGTCCACGCCTTCCTCTCCGTGAGTCTCCTCTTCCCATCCACTTTCTTCCGGTCGCTGAGTTTGTGGTCTTTACCGGCTTTCTGTTCCATGTTCGACACACTTTAAGCATAAAACTGACAATATATCAGGATAAATAAACAGATTTATCAGGGAAATCCATGTAATATAACAAGTATGTGATGTGTCTCTCAAGATGGAGAATTTACATTTTAGATTTAGTCCGAAGGCGCTGTGTGTCTGTGAATATGCTAGTTGGTGTATTTTTCATTTTATCTACGTAGAGGGAAAACTCTTTAGCATTTAGCATTACCCTGATGAAACCATCACTGCTCTGTGGTACGAAGCTGCTGCAATCATTAGCGTTCTAGCATCAACTCTTGTCTTGCACCGTGGCCATTGGATCCAACAAACTAACACAAATAACCTTGATTAAAAACTCATCTCAGCTCAGTTAGCTTGACAGCTGTAGATGTTTTCAAGCATTTATGTAAATGTCATAAATGCAAAATGCTGCAGTCTTTCTAATTTAACTCGACTGCTAACAAAACCCTGGTAATGTGACTCGTGTGGGTGGAGAGAGCTAGCAAGTTAATGCTTATCACATTTGCTATGTTAGCGAGATAGCTAGCCACATAACACAAGTATGAAGCCTTGTGTTGGCAGTTTAATGTTACTGAATTATGCTCAAAACTTCCTGTATGTTTCAAATTAAAAGCCTTTTATTGTGAAACATTTGCAGGAAAATGTTGTGAAAAACTTCATGGGAACTAATGGTGTTTGGCTTAATATCAAACATTTTTACGCAGTCTGATGTTGTCTCTCTTCCTTTAAATGCTAAAAGTGTAACTTCAGTGTGACTGTAGGTTTCTGTTCAGTCTTCCTGTGGACGGCTGTCTGTTCACGTCTCATCGGCGGGGTCGGCGCTGACGCTGCAGAACACCGTGACATGTTCACATGTAACACATCCGACGCGCCGTCTCCTTCTGCTGCTGTCTCTCTCGCTCACATCCGGGCTGCCGTCTCCAGCGATGCAGAAGCTGTTTGTCTGTTGTTGCTGACTCAGAGTCTCTGTCTCCCTCTCAGATCCCCAGTCTGAGCCACAGCGTCATCTCTCAGACCAGTTTCCGGGCGGAGTACAAGTCCACAGCCGGTCCGACGGTTTTCCAGAAGCCGGTCAAGTTCCAGGTGGACATCACCTACACCGAGAGCACCAGCGCCACTAAGGACAACGGCATCTACTCCGTCACCTTCACCCTGCTGTCAGGTAATCGCAGCACATACAGCGACAAAAGTCTGTTGGACAGCGGTAGGTCGACAGATCTGAACACTGATGGCGACGAGGAGTCTGTGGATGCTAATACAGCTAGCACGAGCAGCAATACGCAAGATATTAAACACTTTCCAGACACAACTGAGCTCCAACTGAGCGAGGTCGAAGGTAATGAAGATAAAGTCTGTTGGAAAAGCACCAAATCAAATTGTTCCATATTAAAAATGTCCCTGAATCGTAGCCCATTTATCCAGAGCCGTATTGATCGTCTCAGAGATTCACACCACCAATATTAGTCTTTCTTTTATCAAGTAAAAAAGCTCAAATGTTTTGCTTTACTCTGCTTCATAACTTAATATCTTTTGGGTTTTTTTGGACTGTTTGTCAGACAAAACAAGCAACTTAAAAAATTAAACCAGCGAAAGCTAACGGTGCTCCATTGATTCCTCATCAGGTCCCAGCCGACGTTTTAAGCGTGTGGTGGAGACCATCCAGGCCCAGCTGCTCAGCACCGACCAGCCCGGCACCCAGCCCCAGATATCCGGTAAGTGGAGCCCCTCGCCACCCGCCCCCCGACCACGCCTTATACCCCCCAACCCTCCTCCTTCCTCCTCCTCCTCCTCTTCCTCCACGTCCTCACAGCCTCCCTCCCGGCATCCTGGCACTCCTCACAGCACAGCCACGCCCCGCGGCCCACCCTTCGGCTCGGACCCGCACAGCACAGCTCGGCTCGGCTCGGCACACTGCTTTTAGCACACGGCATCTCCACGTGCATGCCCCTGCCACATACCATGGCGTGCACTCTCACTCACACACACACACACACACACACAGGACACCATTAAGGTATTCAGGTGCATTCACAGGGCCGATTACAGAGACTCACCTATCCTCCGCAGACAGCAGCTCGGCCCTCACCCGACGTCTGACGACAAGTGTGGATTAGAGGGAGAAAACATTCATACTTTTATAGAATAAAGTGCATAAACACAAATCTTTAATGGGTATGATTTGGATATTTTGGGCTGCCTATAGGTAGATGGACGGATTGTAAAAAATATGGAAGAAAAGAAAGAGTGACCGTGTGTTCTCCTCCAGTTGTCCTTGTTAGTTCTGTCTGTTAGTGTGACACTGTTGTTGTATCTGTGGTTATTCACTTGATAATGGTCCCCTCTGGTGGTGAAGCAGAGCAACTACAACCCTTCCTCGGTTACTGGGAGAGAACCAGTCTCCTCCTCAGCTCCCACCACAGTACGCTAAAGCTAACAGCCTGCAGTCTTTACAAAGATAGTTTGGATTTTTAAATATTGATTAGCAGTGATGTTCATTCATAAAGGATTCCTGATCTTTGATCTCCAGACTGACAGTGGCTCAAAAAACAACAAATAGAGCAGAAATCACCATTTAGCCGAATAATTTGTCTTTATTTGAGTATTTACTTCAATAAAAAGCTGTGAGATCATTCATTTATGTCAGATTTAAAGCCGGTAATGTGTAACGCACTCCAATCCAGCTGTTCTTTCTTAAAAGTTGACTTTAACGATGCCTAAAATGTTCAGTTTTTGTTGTTAATTAAATTATGTTGTAGCAGAGTTCCCACTCTTTTTAAGAGATCGTTTTCCAAGTTTTTCTTCACAATACAGGACAGCACAACGATTGTCGTTGTTTAAGACTGTTCCCAACCTGCAGGTCGTCTGTTGGGAGGTTGTAAATTGTTTAATAGAACAATGGTCAAACATCAGGGGAAGAAAACCTGGCAAAAAAGAAGCCTACTAAGACGGACAACAATTCACTGTTTTGGGTTCATTGTTTAGTTTTTAATTTAATATGAAATAACCATAGAATATGTCACTGAGTCAGTTTATTAATGATTTAGTGATTTAAAGAGACGGTTTTGTGCCATGCTTGGCCGTTTTGATTTCAGTTCACATTAATTCGGCCTCAACTCAGACTAACATACAATCAAAAATGTTCAGAATATTTGGTCATTTTAATTAATTTCCAGGACGTGTGGGAGCCCTGTTGAGGTCACAGCGATTATGTTGTTCTGGACTGTATTTTATTATAAATACTACTATTATTATAATATTCTGACCCTCCCTCATATATGTAAATAAGATGAGAAACAGCTCTTCATATATAATGAACCGTAGTCCAGTTCGACACCACATTTGACCTCAATAATAAACAATTAATCTACACATTTTCAACAATGTCAACGAAATGTAAATTGCCCATTTAAATAAACTTTAATAAACCATATTGATGCATAATATTACCTTATTTATCCCTATCAGACAGCAGGAGCTCAGTAGCTCTATATTTGCTGCAGTGAACAAAAGATACCAACACTTCCTGTTTAACTATAACCTAAGATATAAAGGAGGGCAACAGACTTTATAATGTTTGTTTTGTAAGACACTGGTTGGCTGGAAGATCTCCAACTACAGTCCAGAGTCCAAAAATCCAAACTATCACTCACAACACAACAAACCAGTCTAACTAGTTACTGCCACAGATGGGAACTGTTATCAGGCACTGTGTGCACAACCTCAGTCACCTTCACCATGTAGATGTGCCAATAACCCACATCTCTACCTACCTTTCTACCTACTAATCTACCTTTCTACCTTTCTATCTATCTATCTATCTATCTATCTATCTATCTATCTACCTACCTTTCTATCTATCTATCTGTCTATCTATCTATCTGGCTTGCCTCTCCATGCCACCCTGCTTCCTGTCATCCACAGCTTTACTCTGATGCCACTTGGATGGACTGAATGATTCGCATGCTGAATGAAACCCAGAACCATGCACACTTACAGTCCGGCTAACCGTCCTCTGGCCCTCAGGTTCTGGGTAAAAAAAACAGTCCAGAGCTGAGGCGAGCAGGGTCGGGTTCGTTGGGGATCCGATGCTGAACTGTGTGCTGATGGTTCTGGGTTTGTGTTGTGCCTCTTACAGAGACTGACACACTTAAATGAATGCATGCTGTTTGCTGTGCGAACTCCTGAGCGAGCAAACAAACACGCAGTTTGTGATCGCTTTGCAAACGGCCTCAGAACCAGATAATCTGCATGTGTTTGATGAAACTTACTAAACACTGAACAGCTCTACAGACATATGAACCTCTGTGTATGTGTGAGTGTCAGCTCATACATATGTGTAAGGTTGTACTGTGTGGATGCAGCAGCAGATGGATTTTAAAGGGTAATGTCTGTCGCGGTGGACGTTCAGCTTCACACAGACTAAATGTCACAGAAACAGTTGCCAAGTCGCTGAAATAGCTTCTATATCTCCATCCTGACTGCTGGTCATCTGCCAGACTACTGCTGATTGATGTGAATCAATACCATTAGCAGATTCTGGCCCAAACCTCTCAGGTCTAACCTACCTGACTGAGCCAGATGGTCTGTAAGACAGAACCATCTGGGAAGTCGCTGTTGGAAACAGTTTGGAAAAGGGCAGACGCTTTCAAAAAAATTGGACTGGATGAACCATGTATCAGTCATCGAACGATGGGCGAACTTCATCCAATTAGATCAGCGAACCATTTCACGTAGTCAAACTCTGACTGAAGCCAGTCGGGAGAAAAAGTCCTTCAGTGTTGTTCTTTGCTCTTCTATTAATGAGGAAATTCTCTCCAAATGTAACTGATGGCAGCACGTAGCTGGATTGGATGAACCATCTATCAATCGTCGAACGATGGGCGATTCAACCAACAGTGTCCTCAAAGGACGCTGTAGTTTGGCCAAGAAATGCATATAGAGAAACCTGACAAGATGAATTCTCACTTAATTTAGTTTTAAAAGATTATCTCAAGTCCAAAAGGCCGAATGTACGCCAGGCCACAAGGAAACTGAATGCACAGAACCTCAAACAGTGGTCAATGTGAATCGTCACAACAGTTTGAACTGGTTCTGTTTTGTTCGGCATCACTTAGGTCTGTTTACTGACATTAAATCAACAACATCTGTTTATTTTAGGCTCATACCACCGTCGTAAGATAGATTAAAGGGTGATTATTCGCCTCACAAACTATTTTTTTTCTTAAGTCACAGTTTAGACAACAGAACCACTTGGTTAGGTTTTCGGAAAATATGGTTTGGACTCTTTTACAACGTTAACCACGTAAGAAAGTCTATACTGTCTATTATTACTCTGTGCCAAACATTAAGGTTGCTTACAGTGAATCTCCCGTGTGTAGAAAGACTTTTTTTAGACTAACGTACGACAGAAGCTGTAATATTGGCTTCACGTATAAAAATGGAACAAGGAAGTCCCTGCAAAAACATTGTAGCACAACGACTTCGACCTCGCGACAAAACCAGGAATTTGAATATTTTGAAGAGATGTAAAAACGAGCTGAACTTTCACCGTGTGCAGAGTTATCCTTTAAACTCGTACTGAGGACAAGTGCAACGTGTTGGCCAGTGTGCGGCTGATAATGATGATGATGATGATGATGAAGCGCTGGGCCTCCGTGAGTCGGTTGGTGTATCTGACACTGTCCTCTGCTCTCAGATGGCTCTCAGCGCTCAGCTTCTTTGCCCAGTAAATCCTCCAAGCGTGGTAAGACCCAGAGCGACCGGGAGCTCCCGGCAAAAAAAACCAAACACCTTAACTCTGGCTTTTAACACACACTGGCAACGTCACCAACACACGCTGTTTGCACTAACAAGTCTGTGTGTGTGTGTGTGTCTGTGTGTGTGTGTGTGAGAGCTGGAAAGTCATTTAAATATGAAAACAAAATAGCTTTGTTTTCTTAAATTTTTACAGTACTAGAAGACTTTTCTGTGGTGTAAAAATGCCGTTAAGTAAAATCATCATAATCTGGCCACTAGATAGATGTAAGGAAACACCGATACACTTTGGTATCGTCATATTCTCCAAAAAAAATTATTTTTGTGTTTAAACCATCAACATATAAAATGTATATCACCAAATAACTAATTAAAACCTAATTTATCCGAAAAATTAACACTTGAACAAACATCAGCGTGATAAGAACGACCTAAAATGACAGAAACCATCTTTGGGAAACATTTATTTGACTCCCATCTGTTAACATGGAGGCAGCTTTGAGAGTCTATACTGCAGTCAAACTTTATTCTTAACTCATCTTCGTCTATTTGAGATACTGTTAACTTCATCAATTAAAATTTTTATGAAAAATATGAGATAACTTTTTTAAAGCTAAAATCAAGATAATAAATGATAATAAAAAAGTAACCTTTGAAAACAGAAACAATAAACACTGTACCATAATTTTAAATAACAAATAAATTACAAATAAAATATTTTATTTAACTAATGACCTTGAAAACGTCTGACAAAGAAAGAAACAAAGTCAACTTATTACTTTTAAACCGTATTTCACAGATAGAAAACTGAGCTAACGCAACCAAGGACGACTGTAACATTTAAAAGTAAATTGATTCTCTGTTAAAGTTACTTAATTGATCCCTGAAGGTGAGAAAATCTGCTTATTAATTATAATATTAAAACCCCACGCTGTTCTCAGTGTAGCCGGTTCCATTGATTATAACGTAAGCGCTACGTTACGTGTTCGATGTAGTCTAGCCGTTAGAAACAGCATCTTATTTCAGGTTTTTATGGTTTATTTAGTGTTTAAAAGCTCAGTCGGAGGCTCAATAAGACTCAATACAATGTATTTTATTGTGTGAATGTGTGTGAAGCTCAGTAACCCTTCTGCATGGTAACGCTTCATACTGGGTTGTTTCCTCCTTTCTCATAAACTTTCCATATTTGAAATCACTGGAACAAAATATCAAACACCAGAAATGCACATCTCACTGCTGTATGTTGTTGCAGAGGAACGATGGTAAGTTATCACAGAAGTATTGATCAGCAGTGAAACCACTGGGATGTTTTAAAGGGGGCACACTGTTTGAAGACTAACCCCGGCAATGTGTATTAATGTGTACACTGTGCTGTATTGTTGCATGTTTCTACTCACTCATGGTTGTTTTAAAGCACAAAGAACCTCTGTCTTAATGGATGGATGTTGGATGTTGTTGTGATGGATGTTGACATGATGGAGAGTTAACAGGCGCTTTGGAAGACATTCGTACACAGAAAACAGTCCTGTAAACCTTTAAAGTGTGAGCATGTTTCTGCATTAGGAAGTACAGAAGGTAAAATAACATTAGATAGCGGCGCCACTAGCTTGAACGATAAAGACAAAAAGTGCAGCAGCCGTAGGTCTGTTATTAAATTATCAAATTAAATTCTCATTTTGCTTTATTTGCATGAATTTCACTGCTCAAGTCAGTTTGTAATTTCTGTTTTTCACAACAAACAACTAATGTAGTTCTGCACAGACTGAGCTATGTCATAGGATCGGTAAAATAATCCTTTTTCCAGGTTTCCCACTGTTTTATTTTATGTAATTTAATGACTGGCTAACTTACAAGTTAATTAACATTTTCCAGGAAAATCATAGTTAATTCCTAAATGCACATATTATGTCTCATAAAGTGAGCGCTCAGTTTGTTTAAATGTTAAAAAGTTGGTCCCCAGAAAGAATCACTGGTGTAATTTGTACTTAAGTTCAGTACTTGAGTAAATGTACTTCATTCCACCTTAACTGACATAATAAGCACTTCGCTATTGTGGAAAATTCAGTATTTCCAATGAAGTAACTGAAGTAGCTTTCATGCTAACGGAGGTTGAACCAGTTGATCTTTGAATGTCTTCCAGCGCTCCCGTTAGCTCTCCACCCAGCAGGGGAAACTGAGACTCTGAAGCTGAACTCACTGATATTAATATCTTTAAGTGGGATGTGACGTTATTTGGTTATTGGCTCCTTTTTGGCGCCTCCTTCTCCTTCCAAACAACCCGACAACCATTCCCTCCCTAAAGAGTCTCCTTTCCCCCGGCGCCACTCCTCCTCTCATCCCTCCATCACCTCCTCCTCCTCTCCTCATGTTAACCTCATTGCTCATCTGTTGTTTGTTCTCTCTCTCTTTCTCTCTCTCTTTGTTTTTTCTTTTCTTCCCGTCTGTGTAGGCAGCCCGTTGAGTAACTTCTTTGACGTAATTAAACAGCTTTTTTCAGACGAGAAGAACATCCAAGCGTCCCACTCCCCCGGCGCCCCCGCCACGCCTAGCTCCCCTGCCAAGCATGCCCCCAGCAGCAAGCCCAACCAGCCCCCGCCCAATGACTCTAAATGCCCCCCCGGCAAAGACAAAACAAAGATGGCTGCCGGCAACAGGACACAGGAACAACCTTAAGGAGCGGTAGCCGTGCATGACTTAGCCGAAAAAGCAGTTATCAGGTGTTTAAACGAGAGAACGACAGAGGAGAGCTGCTAACTTTGCCCTTTAGTTCGGAGTGAAAACAAAACAAAAATCTACTTTTTGCCTATAAATTTTGTACTGTATAATGGGAATGGCTCTTTCAGTTTAAAGGTTGATCAGTATTTTACAATAAGTAGCAGATGTAGCTTTGTTGTCCCTACCTTTCTGTCCCTCTCTGTGTCCTCGGGGGTCCTTTTTTCGGTGGGTGTGTGTCCTTCCTCACATATGTGATGGCTTGACTTGTCTCTGCCACCAGGGATCATCCATAATAGCTATTAACCTCGGCGGCTCTTCGAGACCCGCCACCGCCGCCGCCACCAACAACCAACCAAGAGAGTCCGAAACTGAAGAAAAAAGACAGACTTCCCCCCTCTTTCTCCTAACCCCCACTTCACTCTCTCACCCCACTTCGAGTCCTTTCTCCAGGGCCACACCGAGTCCACGTCGCCCCCCCACCAGACCAAACGCATCTCAGAAGAGTTGTAAAAAGAAAAAAAAGCCTTAAGACAGTGATGTTTGTCAATCTGCACACATCCCCCTTCTCCTCTTTTCTCTTTCTTCTATTTCTCCCACATGTACATAAAAAAAAAACAACAACATACTGTACTCAACACGAACATAACTTCTTTGCGGGATGTAACGACTTGCACACGCTGACAAACAGGAAGCAGAAGCGGGGACGGACGGACGGTCGGACGCTGGCTGGATTGTAATTCTTTTTAAATGTTCTTTGTGAACAGCAGGATTTTTTGGAGCTTTCTGTAAAATGGGTCCTCGCAGTTTAAAAAGGCTGCTGGTAAAAAGTATGATAAGTCAGAGGGGGGGAGGTGATATTACATAAATGAATGATCTATTCTGTTGTACAGATTAAAATAATGTTCCGTATGTACAAAAAGTGTAGTCGTGACATTATGTTTTTAGAGCTGTGTTGCCATATTTTGTTTTTGTATTCCTGTATAGGGGCCTGGTCACGGCGACGTTTAAAGCAGCGTTTTTCTTTGTTCACGGCGAAATGAATTCATTCCAATGGAATCGCTGCGATGAGGAGATCTGCGCAAAATCTTTCGTGTAAGCGTGTCGACGGTGCTAAACAACGAAATGGAGGACGCTAACGTAGCTTGTTAGCCGTGTGTCAACATTTACCTTCATCAACACGTAAGGAAAAAGGTTGAGAATGACTGAATTATCTGTATTTATACTCGGATTGGGCGGGATTTAAGTCAAATGTGGGTGGTGCTTAAGCCCAAAAGCGGGGCTAGAAGTTGTTCATTTAAGCCTGAAATCGACAAGAGTTGATCAGAAGTTGCTATATTTATGAGAAACAATTTAGAGAATGGAGCTTCAGAGCTGTTTTTGATCACAAGATAAAGAAAACTATTTACATTCAGCCGAGTACTTTGTACATAGTTAGAGTTGGGCTTGGCAATAAGGCTTAAAAATAATTTTTTTAATTTTTTCATACCACATCAGTAATGTTTCGTCACTGCAGCCGCTTGTTTGCATATGGGATACTATCATAACATTAAAACATTCGTAGGTAGCATCTTGATTTATGGATTCATCACCCAGCTCTGGTTATGAGAGAGTCGATTGCACGAATCAGTTAAAATAAACTGTGAACTTTTTGTAATGTTCCTAATGGTCTGTTAGCACGCTCGCTAGTTTGAAGAGCCCCCAAAACGACAGGGCAAGGTAGCTAGAATCTGAAGAGATAATAACGTTAGCATGCTCCGGATAACACCAGCTAACCACCTTGGAGGACGTTTGGACATCAATAACATTTCTCAAAGACGCACAGACGAGTTTTGTGCTTTCCGGTGTGACCAGGCCTCGTCTACGAAACGTTTCCTTTTTGCACTTTTTGACGAGTGAATTAGATTCGGGTTCAGTTACAACATGTCAGCGCATTTTTAATTTTCATTATAATTTTTTACAATATTGAACTGCTGTGTATATTTTTGTACTTTATTGTCTTTTGTCATTTTCTTTTTTGTTATTAATTTATTCTCCGTTATTTATATGAAAGATGTAGAGAATGTTTCTTAACGTCAAAATTATTTAAGGATATTTTTGTCATGTTTAAGTTATTTGATCACCGAGAAATACTCGAAACGTTTGTGAGTGTTCGTTTTTTCTTCCCGGCTTCTTTATGTTTGTTTGTTTGTTTGTTTGTTTGTTTCTGACGAGAGAAACCTTGTAATATACGTTTGGAAAATGATTTACCGTAATTTAAGAATGTAGACTTAGCCTCTCTGAGAGGAACCGAACCCTTTGTTGATAATTGTCGGCTCCTCCTTCCCCTCAGTGTGTATGATGAACTCAGATCTCACCAAACACTCATTCTGTAAATAAGCCGAGTTTACTGACAAGCTTATTTAAAAAACCAAGGGGATTCCTATTCTTAGCTTTGACCTCGTACGGTTGTTTGCATGTTCAGCATTCGTCTTTTCTTTGCATGTCGTCGTTGGAATTGTTCTCCTGTTCCCTTTTTCTCTCCACACTTATTTATGTATTTATGTTCTTTATGTGCTTTTGTTTTAATTTGCCTTCTGATTTTTATTTTTTATTTTTGTAAAGTTTGATTTCTTTCGCCGTCCTCTTTCCCTCTCCCGCCCCCTTTTTTGATTACTGTGTACGCACAGTAACCGTGCAATGCATCCTCCTTACTCATTCTCTCAAAGAGGGACCTCTCTGGCGATCGGGTTGCTCACCAGCTGGGTGGGTGTTGGGTTATCGGAGAGAAAAATTAAAGCAATACCTTTCATTGTTCGCTTTCCTCTTTTTCTACTGGGGGAATCCAGAGCACACAGAATGGACTCGGAGCACGGAGCGCTACTACTGAGCAGGATAACCACTGGCAATGTATTCCCTTGTGATGTTACTGTGAACAACTTCAGTGCTAAAGGAAATAAATCTGTTGACTTTGGAGCTGTGTGCACATTTTTTGGGGCTTAACCTTTGTTCTCTTAATGTTTGGTTGCTGCAGCAGTGTCTGTATGGAGGCGTTTGATTTAAAAAAAGCTAAAGTGAACACATCAGCAGTTATATTAAAGAGGTCCTACACCCTGAAACATGTTTGCGCTGTAAACTAAATTTTAGTTTTGTGATAAAACACATTGACATTATTTATGAAAAACTGCATTTTGTGGGTTGAAAATGTCTCAACTCGCCCTCTACTGTTTTAAATCACCCTTAATCTTGTGAGTCCACTGCTGACACAGAGTGGACAGTTTGGGACATTTCTATAAAAACAGTCAACTAAGCAGAGGAGGGCACCTACAACACAGGTACCACACAAAGTAGAAACAAAGAAACTTGCCATGAATGTGCTTTTAGTGACTGCATAAGCTCCAGTGGACTCTGGGTTTCCAGCCTGCTAAACATTTGGCAGTTAGAAAGCTAAAAGTTTGGCAGTTAACTGAAGCCGATTTATAGATGCTTAAACTGGTGTTAATTGATGTGAGTTGTTAGCTTGATTGTATCTAAAATAAAACTCACTATGTTTCCTTAAGGTGTGTTTAAAGGAGTTGAAATCAAGACGAAAAGAATTTAACAAGGAATGAAGCCATACCGAGTCTTGCTTGACGGGATTTTGTACTTGCTTTGCATTGGGAAAGAGCAGCTGAATCCGATTGGTTGATACATAGACGCTGCTTTGGCCCATTAATGGGACACGTCAACAATGCCAATTAATTATTTTCCAACACGTAAATAACAGTTCATGTGAACCTACAAATTCCCCGGTTAACTTGTATTTGTTCACAGGCCAGTCTTACCCGGTCCAAATTGTAGATAGTCTAGCCTATGACAAGAGACTTTAGCCAATCAAAGGTCATTCAGAGAGAAGGCGTTCCTGTTGTTTGGTTTGGTGGGAGGGGCTTAATAGAGTGATACGAGCCACCAGAGAGAGGCGTGAAGTTTTGCACAGCCTGCTGATTATACTTTAAAAAAATCAACAAAAAACAATAATGAAATGTAAATAAGAAATAAAAGCAACACAAAATGGAAAAGAACTATTGCACTACTGCAGCTTTAATGGGGCTCTTTACTGGTTATACATACCTGATATGCAATAAATACACATTTTAGGAAGGAGCTTTAATAAGTCTCATGTTTAAATATTTTGTCCTGAGGTAGTTTTCTTCTTGTCTTTAGAGAAGTCCTGACACAAGGGAAACACTGACAAACAACAACAATCAGTCAAACCAGTGATTAATAAAGAAATCATAAAATTATAAACTAATGAAATGATTGCGTTTCTTCATTTGTCCGACCAACAGTGAATAATCTGAAAATTGAGGTAACCAGATAAGATCTGGGGACAGGGCAGCTGGGCGAGTTATATGTGTCATGGTTGACTTACGAACCATTAACGCACAGGTGACTGAGGTATGTTACAGTCATTTAAACGTCTTTTCAGCAGTTAACATTATCATTCAGCTGTAGGAGCTAACAAACTCATTTTAAAAGATATTTTTATCATTAATTCTTCCCACAGTGGCGGCTGCACTCTTCTTAAAACAGGTCGAATGACAAGTCAACACAGAGGTTAGCTTAGCTACAACACAGGTACAACACAGAAACCTTTACAAACGGCCATGAAGGTGCTTCTAGTGACTGTAAAAGCTCCACTCTGTGTTTACAACGCAGACAATCAGAGTCTGACATTGAATCTAAAACTTTAACAGTTAGAAAGCTGTGTTTTATGAGTAATTTTTTGAACAACTAAAAGCAGAAATTAGAGCCTACATAAGTGACATTTGATCACAATATTAGCACAAATTCAAACAAACAATTGTAATAATTTATGTAGACTAATTGTAATGTAATTTAAGGGTTCTCTCATTTGAGTAGCAGCTGGTTGCTCTTATCTCCGTTTTATTAATAATCATTCATGACAGTCCAGCAGCGCCATAGTTCAGTGCAGTTGAGTTTGTTTTAGCTTGTTAAAGTTAAATGGCCAGTTTGTAAGATTTTGTGGCATCAAGTTGCAGATTGCAACTAACTGAATACCGCTTGCGTCTGTATTGGATGACCTGGGAATGATAACGGGCTGCAAAGTGTGTAGGAAAAACAATGGTGGCAATGAAATTGTAGAAAAACGTGAAAGGTCTAATCTAGAGTCAGTGAGTTTTTGTTTTGAAATGAGAAAACCAAAATTGGGGCACAAGCTGTTTCCTGACTAACATTTATAAATGGTGAAACAAAAAACTAAAGAACAACCCCTTTTCTGTTTTTTTGTTCCCCTGTTTGTAACTGCTCATAATTTGGGACTATCCCGAATATTTCAGGACGTCTGGTCCACAAACATTTACATGATATATGGTGACAGGAAGATTCTCAACGTGACAAAAGTATAGTTTTTATTTCACTTGATGAATTATCAAAACTGCGATTCATTTTCTATATTTGGATCCTCTCCCCGGTTGCAGAAATATCCGCTTGTGTCAAGATTAATAAATACAGCAAACATCGTCTGTTTAATCTCCTACTCTAACGTGACTAACAAACACAGTATATGGCTACGTTTCCCAAACACACATACCAGTGTAAATACACAGTCCGGGTTGTTTCTACTCTCGACATGCAGAGTGGAGGGTGTAAAGTCTGTGTATTAATGTGGCCTCCAAAACCCTCAGGAGACCCGGTGAATCCTGGTCCTGGGGGCCCACCTCCGGGCAGAGCAGCTCCTGACCGACACCACCCAGCAGCAGGCGGTGGAAGTCCTCCCGGTCCAGGAGCCGATCCATGTTCTGCAGGAAGAATCCTTCACAAAATCTGCAGAGTTCGGCTCCTCCATGAAGCTGCAGATAAAAAACAAGTTTAATCTCTGTGATGAGCTCTCTCTCTCTCTCTGTTGTTTCAGTTCCCACTCTCTGTGTGTTCTTTCAGTTCCCTCTGTGTGTTGTTTCAGTTCCCTCTCTCTCTCACTGTTGTTTTAGTTCCCTGTGTGTTGTTTTAGTTCCCTCTCTCTGTGTGTTTCAGTTCCCTCTCTCTGTGTGTTTCAGTTCCCTCTCTCTCCCACTGTTGTTTTAGTTCCCTGTGTGTTGTTTTAGTTCCCTCTCTCTGTGTGTTGTTTCAGTTCCCTCTCTCTCTCACTGTTGTTTTAGTTCCTTGTCTTTGTTGTTTTAGTTCCCTCTCTCTGTGTGTTTCAGTTCCCTCTCTCTCCCACTGTTGTTTTAGTTCCCTGTGTGTTGTTTTAGTTCCCTCTCTCTGTGAGTTGTTTCAGTTCCCTCTCTCTCTCACTGTTGTTTTAGTTCCCTGTCTTTGTTGTTTTAGTTCCCTCTCTCTCTCTGTGTTCTTTCAGTTCCCTCTCTGTGTTGTTTTAGTTCCCTCTCTTTGTGTTGTTGTACCTTTGCAGCCTGGTAGATGTTGACGACAGAATTCACAGTCAGACTTTGCGACAGCTTCGTCTCACAGCACCTCTGCAGACCCCTGAGCTGGAAGAAAGTGGCCACTGGCAGCAGCTACAAAAACACAAACACAATTAAAGTCCCTTACAGGTCCAATATGCAACTTCTACAATGAGATCCACTGAGAATGGACTTAACAATGAGGAGGAGACATCTTGTAACCAGCAGGAAAACTTTGCATTTGCATATTTCATAGATTCTTTCATTTTTAATGAGGTCGAGGGAGTAGATGACTTTTAAAGGATTTTAATGTGGAAATTTTTTTGCCTGAAAAACACATCAGTTCTTCCAAGCAGATTAATGTAATTTGCTGTAAATTAGCTAGCTAGTTGGTTTGTGTTTTACTAACTTTAGCTTTTTAAATGTAGCAGGTTTAAAATTGACATAGATTAGCTGGCTTGCTAATTAGATAAACCAGCTAGCAAACTCTGACGAACAACTTGTGAATTTTAGCTAAAGGTTTGCATGATGTGGTGTACTCGTGATACACTGGCACATGTGCATGGACTGCAATGGCCTGTTCATCGCTGCTTGCAGCTTTAATATGTTAAGAATACAGTTCAAATTTGCCTTTTAATTAGGCACTGGCACCGTTTTAAAAGTATCGTTTTAGCACTGGTATCTGTGAAAACCCAGACGATACCCAACCATAGAAATATATCGTTAAATATTCTGTCCACAGATATATGTCCGTTCAGGTAAAAGAATGAAAACATACTTTTGCGAAACAGATTATAATTATTTTGGCTTTTGTAGCAGTGGGACAGAGGAGTATATCTTTTAAAACAATCAGCACCATTTCAACTTATTCTTGAGGTAAACTGCAGTTTATTTCAGACACTGGAGTTTAACAATTAATGCAAATATGTATCTTCAATGTAGAAACAAACCCAGTGAGATAAAACTACAGCAGGTGAACAGATGAGTGATTTTACCTTCAAGGCTTCAGAGTGTGAGACAATCAGTCCTTCAGTTCCTCCACAGTACAAAGACTTCATCATCATCTACATAGAAACACATCATTAACACACACACATTAATACACTCACATTAACAAACTCATATTAACACACACATTAATACACTCATATTAACACACACCTCAACACACTCACATTAACACACACACATTAAAACACATTAACACTCACATTAACACACTCACATTAATACACTCACATTAACACACTCACATTAACACACATTAATACACTCACATTAACACACATTAATACACTCATATTAACACACACATTAATACACTCACATTAACACTCACATTAACTCACATTAATACACTCACATTAACACACATTAATACACTCACATTAATACACTCACATTAACACACATTAATACACTCACATTAACACACACACATTAACACACATCAATACACTCACATTAACACACACACATTAACACACATTAATACACACACATTAATACACTCACATTAACACACATTAATACACTCACATTAACACACACACATTAACACACATTAATACACACACATTAACACACGTTGACACACACACATTAATACACACACATTAACACACTTACATTAACACACGTTAACACACACACACATTAATACACACACATTAATACACTCACATTAACACACTCACATTAACACACATTAATACGCTCACATTAACACACATTAATACACTCAAATTAATACACTCACATTAACACACTCACATTAACACACATTAATACACTCACATTAATACACTCACATTGACACACTCACATTAACACACATTAATACACTCACATTAACACACATTAATACACTCACATTATCACACATTAATACACTCACATTAACATACTCACATTAACACACATTAATACACTCATATTAACACTCACATTAATACACACATTAACACACTCACATTAACACACATTAATACACTCATATTCACACACACATTAATACACTCACATTAACACACATTAACACACCCACATTAATACACTCACATTAACACACATTAAAACACTCACAATAATACACATTAACACACTCACATTAACACATGCACATTAATACACTCACATTAACACAATCATATTAACACACACATTAATACACTCACATTAACACACACACATTAATACACTCACATTACACACATTAATACACTCACATTAACACACACATTTACACACATTAATACACTCACATTAATACACTCACATTAACACACATTAAAACACTCACAATAATACACATTAACACACTCACATTAACACATGCACATTAATACACTCACATTAACACAATCATATTAACACACACATTAATAAACTCAGATTAACACACACACATTAATACACTCACATTAACACACTGATATTAACACACACATTAATACACTCACATTAACACACTCACATTAACACACATTAATACACTCATATTCACACACACATTAATACACACATTAACACACCCACATTAATACACTCACATTAACACACATTAAAACACTCACAATAATACACATTAACACACTCACATTAACACATGCACATTAATACACTCACATTAACACAATCATATTAACACACACATTGATACACTCACATTAACACACACACATTAATACACTCACATTAACACACATTAATACACACATTAATACACTCACATTAACACAATCATATTAACACACACATTAATACACTCACATTAACACACTGATATTAACACACACATTAATACACTCACATTAACACACTCACATTAACACACATTAATACACTCACATTAATACACTCACATTAACAAACACATTAACACACATTAATACACTCACATTAACACACACACATTAACACACATTAATACACTCACATTAACACACTGATATTAACACACACATTAATACACTCACATTAACAAACTCACATTAATACACTCACATTAACACACTCATATTAACACACACATTAATACACTCACATTAACACTCACATTAACACACATTAATACACTCACATTAATACACTCACATTAACAAACACATTAACACACATTAATACACTCACATTAACACACACACATTAACACACATTAATACACTCACATTAACACACACATTAACACACATTAATACACTCACATTAACACACACACATTAACACACATTAATACACTCACATTAACACACATTAACACACTCACATTAACACACATTAATACACTCACATTAACACACGTTAACACACACACATTAACACACTAACATTAACACACATTAACGCACTCACATTAACACACATTAATACACTCACATTAACACACACACATTAACACACTCACATTAACACACATTAACACACGCACATTAACACACGTTAACACACACACATTAACACACATTAACACACTCACATTAACACACATTAATACACTAACATTAACACACATTAACACACTCACATTAACACACTCACATTAACACACATTAATACACTAACATTAACACACATTAATACACTAACATTAACACACATTAACACGCTCACATTAACACACTCACATTAACACACATTAATACACTAACATTAACACACATTAACACACTCACATTAACACACTCACATTAACACACATTAATACACTAACATTAACACACGTTAACACACTCACATTAACACACATTAATGCACGCACATTAACACACGTTAACACACACACATTAACACACATTAATACACACACATTAACACACTCACATTAACACACATTAACACACTCACATTAACACACATTAATACACTAACATTAACACAAGTTAACACACTCACATTAACACACTCACATTAACACACATTAATGCACGCACATTAACACACGTTAACACACACACATTAACACACATTAATACACACACATTAATACACTCACATTAACACACTCACATTAATACACTCACATTAACACACTCATATTAACACACACATTAACACACATTAATACACTCACATAATACACTCACATTAACAAACACATTAACACACATTAATACACTCACATTAACACACACACATTAACACACATTAATACACTCACATTAACACACATTAACACACTCACATTAACAAACACATTAACACACATTAATACACTCACATTAACACACATTAACACACATTAATACACTCACATTAACACACGTTAACACACACACACACATTAACACACTAACATTAACACACATTAACGCACTCACATTAACACACATTAATACACTCACATTAACACACGTTAACACACACACATTAACACACATTAACACACGCACATTAACACACGTTAACACACACACATTAACACACATTAACACACTCACATTAACACACATTAATACACTCACATTAACACACGTTAACACACTCACATTAACACACTCACATTAACACACGTTAACACACTCACATTAACACACATTAATGCACGCACATTAACACACGTTAACACACACACATTAACACACATTAATACACACACATTAATACACTCACATTAACACACATTAATACACTCACATTAACACACTCAGGTGTAAGGTAAATGTGTCTCCTACCTGGAACGTGCTGTAGGTCATGTGACTGATGTGGATGATGCCGTCGGGGGAATCGCAGAGAATCCGTCGAAACCTGATGCAAACAAACATGACTTTTATTTTGACAATTAGCTACATTTATTTTGTCTACATTTTCTTTACGTTTCCCCTCAGTTTCTGTATAAAGTACATAGTTTACAACTAGATTTCTAAATGTATTTATTTGTTTTGTTACAGCAGCAACAAGGTGTTCATCTAAGCATGAAAATATTTACAAGTAACAATAAAGTCTGACTAGTTCAAACAGGTTTAGTTTTAGATTTAAGTGTTTAATGAGTCAGAGAAGAGATCAGACCGTTCAGAAGCCGACATCAGCAGCACCCGGTGAGCGAAGAACGGACGTCCGTCCACCAGGAACGTCACATCTGACATCTCCTGGTTGTTCAGGAAGTGAATATCTGAGGACAGAGACATTATGTAATCCTTCTGATGTTCACCCGATCGATCAATAGTCTGTTCACGTGACGGTGGATGAGTTACCGAGCTGTGTGGACAGAGTGACGTCCATTGGAGGGACGGGCGGGAAGGGAGAGGGGCCGTAGCAGTGAGCAAACACAGACGCCAGACGCTTGGTTACCACGTAGTCCTGCAGAGGAAGAAGACAGGAAGCTCAGACTGCAGGGAGGTTGCGTTAAATAACTTCTCAAACCCTCTGACGGGACAGAAACCTGAAACAGAATTTCTGAGGCATAAACTGTGCAGAACAATGTGTATTTCCTTTATTGTGAAAGTGAAACTGATGATGTTTAGAGGAAGTTATTTTGCCCTAAACAATCACTAGTGACTGCTAGCTACTTTTGCTAGCTGTTTTTTATTTAAGTGTCTTTGCTAAGCTAGGCTAAAAACTTGTGTTTGACTCCTTTCAGTAGTTTGAGTCACTGGACGAAGGCAGAGAGCAATGACTGTGTTTGTAGTGAACAATCATTAAAACTCCTGTGAGAAACTCTCATTTTGTGTTGATTCTGGCGCCCCCTGTGGACAGAAGTAGTGGTGTTTCTACCGCCTCGTTTCGTTATCATATTCTTATCTTAACTTTCTCTTACTTTTTTTCATATGGTGGCTTGTACAAGTTCCACGTGAGATTCAGCAAACACTCCAAACTTCAGATTAAACTCCCTGTTGTAGGTTGAAGGTGTAAATGTTAAAATTCTGCTTTTCAGGATGGATTGAAACAGGCGTTCAGCCGTTACCTTGCTGGTCTCCAGCATGCTAAACATGAGTGGTACGCCTGTGGAGAGCAGCTCGGGGCCGTAGTCCTCTGTCCTGATGGAGGGGAACTCTGTGAGGAGGGAGACGATGACTTTGTCCCGACACAGCTGCTGAGCTCTGTGGAGAGACTGCAGCCAGATGTGGAGCCTCCAGGGAACACCTGGACACAGAAACAGGTTCTGCTGTGAAACATCTCAGTTTATTCTGCTATCCACAGTGATCAGTGGCATTCAGTACAATACTGCTGTTCAGAGGCACACAACAGCAGCTCATACAGGTTCATTTCATAGACAATAACGAGCTGTGAGCAGCTGAGTTTAGTTTGTTCCTTCAGTTGTTGTTTTTCAGGAGCAGTTTTCAGTGTTTCACTTTTTAAAAAATCTGTAAAGGTCTGTACTGTATATATATAATTTAATATCAATAAAAGTACAGATGATCTACACACACACACACAGGTAACAGAAGAGACAGTTTGAGCTTACCTATCTCTCTTAGCTCCATGGTAACGTCCAGGTAACCGTGCTCGGCGCTGTAGTAGGCGGCCTGCTGCAGGGCTTTCATCCTGGCCTTACACAGTCTGGGAACAGGGCTCGGGGAGTCTGCAGTTTTTGCCTCCTCCTCCTCCTCCTCCTCGACTCCTTCAGCCAGGATCTCCTCCAGAGAGAGGATGTCCTCCTTCCTGTGCTGAGGTTGCAGCAGCAGCCTCCTCAGGACGTTCCTGCAGGAGGAGAGAGGACGAGTGAGATCACACGCGTTCGGGTTGAATACCAAGAACTGATATATTTTCTGGGAATTCACCTGATGGAGTCTGAGATTTTTAGGTGTGCACCTGCGTTCACTGATTAATATCGTATGACTATTATTACAGCAGTGAAATAAGAAAGGCAAGGAAATCTCCAATAATTTCTCCACAGTCCATAATTAACAGTTCAAACAGAAGTAGTAATAGAGTTAATTTTGTTTTACAGAAAATTTATTTTCTTGAAAGTTAAAGTGTTCGTTGCAGGTACAATTAACATCACTGTGTTTGTATTTATGAACCACAGCAATCTTTACATCTGGTAAACTCAGGTAAATACAGTTCATCCAACCAGCTGTCGAGTTTCAAACTAAATACACACCAAGGTTGAGTGAGGGGATACAATACCACAAAATCCACAACAACACAGATTATTTCCAGGATATTTGGTCATTTTAATCAATTTCCAGGTCTTTCCATGACTGAAAAACTAGTCTCTGAATTTCCAGGTTTTCAAGGGTGATTGGGAACTCTGATATAATCTAATCTTTTTATATGATATTCACATTTTTTTTAAATGTTCCTCAAATTTGAAACATTTGAATCCCAGAAATCAACAGATAATAAGAAAATAAGAACAAATATGAACAGAGAAGAGAGAGTTTGTGTATCACTTCTTCCCTACCCTAATTTATGTTAACTGAAGAAAGATTTCAAACCGTAAATTGTGTCTTTATCTTCTCTGTTTATAATCTGCCCTTATCTTTGCTTTTATTGATGGTTTTATGTGAAACACTTTGATAAATGTCTCACCTGTGTCCGTGTGCTGCAGCGTAACTGAAGCAGTTCATGTCCTCATACAGCGGCGACATCAGTGAGTTCCCATGATGCACTCTGAGCAGAGGATCGGCTCCATGAGCGAGCAGCAAGCTCACCATCTCGTAGTAACCTGGAAGGAGAGAGAGGTCATCTACCTGAACATGTGCCTGCACTGTTTACTAATGCAAATCACTCTTAAATTATGTCTTTCAGGTACATATAGCAGAATTACAATTTTAAAATACATACATTTTCAATGCTAAAAATTTTAAAATTAAATTTTAAATTGTTTCCGTTTCCATTTGCTTTTCACACTGTTTTGTTGTTTTATAGAATACACTTAAGATTCCTTTTTTCTAGTCTTTATTTACATATTTGGTGTTGAGGTAATCCAAAAGTAACAGAAAGTAATGATACTTGGATTAAGTTCCTGATTAATTAGTAATCTCGTCACTGAGACCTGCAGCGGCGGCGAGCTGCAGCGGCGTCTCGGCGGAGCTTTCCTGCCCGTCCAGCAGGGCTCCTCCCTCCACGTCCGCTCCGGCCTCCAACAGCAGCTGTCGGCACGAGGAGACGACACGGTTAGTAACTTCACACCTGCGCTGGTTTAACGTCTGTGACCACGCCCAACAGTGACATCACAGTGTACTGACACACCTGGAGTTCACTTCTACAACAGCGGAGGTTAAACTGCGGTTGAGTTGCTCTTAAAAGACAGAGTGCAGCATTACAGACTTTATTTAAAAAAGAAATACAGGTGCTGCTGAAACCAGGTCAAACTAGTTTATTATCGTCCCATAAACACTCAAGTGGACCCTGTTCAGCCCTCACCTGAGCCACAGACAGGTGACTGTGCAGCACGGCGAACGTCAGAGCCACCCAGCGCCGACTGCCGGGGTGAACCGACGGGTGTCTGCTAGAGCAGCCTGGGACCTGAACAACATACACACACACACATACACACACACACACTCAGTCATCTCAAAGACACGAACCAGCTGGGATTTCACTGAGTCAGCAGTTATGTTTTTACCTGCAGGTCCAGGTGAGCTCCGGCCTCTACAAGCATCTGCACCAGAGCTTCGTCTCCTGCTGCTGCGGCGTACATCAGAGGAGTCATTCCCTGCAGGAACACACAGGGAATCAATAGATTAGATTGTTGTTAAAGGTTATATATGAGATTATAAACATGAATATATCAGCTAACAGATATTCTTTTTATTGTTATTCTTTTCTTCTGTTTTTATCATCTACGTTGGTGAATTTAGGATTTATTTCCACCAAACCAGAGTTGGTGATCTGGTGGGTTGTAGCACTGAGGTCTGAGGTGCTGGTGCTCTAGTGCGACATCTAGTGTAAAGAGTGGGAGTTAAAGTGTTTTAAAGTGCAGATGTTAGTTGGATAGAATGAAAACTACAGTGTAATCTATTACTATTAGTGTTATCTAATACTAATCGTACTAACCTGGTCGTCCGCAGTGTTCAGCCCCTCGGCTCCCAGAAGCCGTGCGGCCTGAAGTACCAGATCCGCTCGGCCACACGAGAGCATCCTGAAGCCCAAATCCAGCTGGAACTTGTCAGCAGCAGCTTCTGCATCCAAACATCTGAAGGACTGGAAACAGCTCTCAGACCTGCAGAGACACACAGAGTAAGAACCGGAGGTTTCTCCTCCACTGGTGGCGGTGGCGGTGGCGGCGGCGGCGGCGGCGGCGGCGGCCTGTAACTGCGATGCTCACTTCAGCTGTCTGGGCTCGCAGTCCAGACCTGGGAGGAGCTGCCTGGCCGTCTGTCTGATGTCGTCACTGTCCACCAACAGGCTGCGGCGATGTTCGGCGTGCACCACAGCGACTCTGATCCACTCCATGAGAGGAGGGAGGAGCAGGAACGGCCTGGAGGAAGGTTGAGATGCTGTCAGAGTCAATGTGGTTGATTATGTTAGTATTTATTTATTTTAAATTCAGATCTGAGAGCAAAGTGTCTTTAAATGTAAACTTTAAACCTCTTCAGTTTTATTGGCATCATTTATTTTATTGTTTTCATGTTTCTTTTCTATTTTATGTGTTTCTGTCTCTTTAAATCTATTTTTTTATATATTTAATTAGATTTATGAGGATTTTATTTTTATTTATTTAGTTTTATTATTATTTTATGTATTTAATTAGATTTATTAGGATTTTTCTTTCAGCAGTCTTCATTGGTGGATCAGACTGTGAGACTTAAGTTAGTAAGTGAACCTTTAATTCAGATTTTTAGCTGTTATGTGTAAATGTGTAATTTATTATTTTTATGTAAATCATTTTCCAGTTAAAGCAGTCATAACGTCAGAATGAAGTGATTAATTTAATGATTAGTGATGACGGATCAATACAGTTCACACACACACACACACACACACACACACACACCTCTCTCTGTTCAGGGTCGTGGTCGGAGGCTCCAGGTTTGGGTTTTCCAGTGACTCCATCTGTTGGCTGGACAGGAAGTAGTACAGCGTCCGGAGGGCGTCCGGAGCCCAGGATACTGACGGCTGATTGGCTGAGCGAGCGGCGCCTACGGACACGCTCGAGCTGCGCAGACGCTGCATGTGGTGCATCGCTCGAGACACCAGATCACCTGCAGGGACACGAGAACCATCATTACGACCCACAATGCAACAGTTCATGTGTTTCCTCTCATCGTCTGGCTCTGTGGTTGTTTCCTGATGCAGGACGAGGCTGTTTATCAGAGACTGAATATAACTTCTGTTCAACTCTTCAGAGTTTACATATTTAATAATAATCTAAACTTTAAACATAATAATTTACTGTAGTTTTCTCTCCACAGAAACAACCTACTGGCTGACATACTGACTGTGGAGACTATGTACTGTGAAGCTTTGGCGACCCCCAGTGGTCACTTTGATTTAAAAACAATGTTTATAGGTTGTAAATGTATGAGTGTAGAATAAATGGATTCATTAACAAATATAACACAACTACTTTTACCTAATTAAATATTATAAAAATAAGCCAGAATGTACGCAGAATATTACAAACATAGTAATCATTGTTGTAATAAACATAAACTGTAATCATTCATGAACAATTCAATTCATCAGGAACAAAGAAAAAGTTTAATTATGAAGAAGTCTTCGGTTATTTTCTCATCTAACTTAGATCTAACGTAAATTAAAGGTTTATATGGACCAAAACCAGAGTTGGTGATTATGTTTTAAATGTGTTTTAAAATGTAATGATTTAAAGAGTTCAGTCTAGACCTGCTCTATTTGAAAAGTGTCCTGAGATAACTTCTGTTAGGAATTGGCGCTATACAAATAAAATTGAATTGAATTGAATTGAATTGAATTGTTGGAAAGACTAACAAAGACGCTTTTGGTGAGTTTTACTTTGCTTAAGTTTAAGCAAAATAAAAAAAATTAGGGACCCTTTTTCTATCATTTAGTAAACTGTGACATTGTTTATGGAAAAAGGAAGCCTATTAAGTCTGTATGATTGTTAACAATAATTAAAATACATAATACAGACAGAGAATTGTCTAAAAAGTTACTAAAAATATAATCTCTGAAATTCTTCCAAATCTCTGGTTTTACACAAACTTCCTGCAGTTACTGAGCTCACTGTTTGGTTCATTGTACAGTTTTGAATATAATATGAAATATCCATAAAATATGTCACTGTTTATTAATGAAAGAAAAAGGGTCCCTGAAGGAAAAAGGCTGTGAATCAGTGGTTAAACAGCAATAATAAATGTAACTGAGGGAGAAATGTGAAAGCTGAAACAACAATAACACTTGAATCTACAGTGACATAAACACAACACGGTGCGTTTAAGTGCTTCGTGCTCCATAAAGCTCCACACACAGAGAGTCCTGCTGTTTTCTCTCCATAATGAGCTACGGTGGCCTGGAGGGTGTGAGGGTGCCCTTGTTTTCTGGATACAAGCCACCGGTTGTTATGTAAGCGACGGGGGAGCCAGCGTCGTCTAACGATCTGTCCCAGGAGCCCGACACAGGTTAAACAAACACACACACTCACTGAGCTCGGCGATGCTGCCCACACCGGTGGCGAGCAGAGACTGCTCCAGCGTCCGCAGCTCCAGCTGGATGTAGGCGTCCTCCCGGCTCTCCATCGAGGCCTCGGGAACCTTCGTGTACGGGCTGACGTGGGCCGGCAGAGACAGCTCGCCTAAAAACACACAAACCTCAAATCAATCAAATGATTCCAGTTCTTTAAGCTGCTGTCAGCAGGCTGACATTCGGCTCTTTATGGCCTCTCCGGGGGCTCTGACAGGCTCTACGATGAGCTAGGATGAAATGTTTGATATTGTAAAGAAAAGGAAATAAAAAGGTTACAGGATAAAGGTCATTGTCCTTATGATCTGGGATCTGTTGACCTTGTTACAGGAAGAAAAGTCTCCAAAAACAAACACAATCACTTAAGATTTATATAAGATTTGTCCAATAACGTTAATTTTGAGAACTGTTTCTATCCTGACAACTATAATGGCTATTTTAACATTTACAACATCTAAATGACTCTGATTGGATCGTGGGCTAAAAAAAACTCACAGTGGTTAGGCTAGCTTTATACGCGGAAGATTGTGGGTTCAATCCCCAGTGGAACCAGAATTATGTCCCATTGCCATCAGACAGACGAATGTAGAATTGTTCCTGAGACTCTGTGACCCCACAATCTTTAATCTCATTAAGTCACGAATGTGGTTGTGAACACAGAAGTTCACTTGTGCTGATTCCACTTCAAATCTAAACATCAAGTCAAAATACTGGTTCCACTGGGGATTGAACCCAGGACCTTCTGCGTGTAAAGCAGACGTGATGACCACTACACTATGGAACCCCTTTGATGTCTTGACTTTGGTCATTGAAACAAAACCTGATCTAAACATATCTGTAGCCAAAATACTTGAAGAAGGCCTTACCAACACACCCTCAGTATTACCCCTCTCACAATACCCGACTATCTGACATCTCCCTGTCTACTAATCAACTTGGCCGAGTATTTCAAAACCTTTGATCGACATCAGAATTAGTATATTTCAGATATGATCATTCTGATGCAGATAGCACAACATCAGGATTATAGAATCTAGATCTGCAGTCTTGGAATAGGCCTCGATCTGTTGCTCAATGTGTGCAACATTTAATTCACACAGGTGTGAAAATGTTGGGAAGTGTTAATCAGTTTGTATTTAATCAGATTCACTTATCCATATTATTGTTTTAAAAAATTGCAAATGACCAAAATAGTGATTCCACAGAGGTTCCATAGTGTAGTGGTCATCACGTCTGCTTTACACGCAGAAGGTCCTGGGTTCAATCCCCAGTGGAACCACAATTATGTCCCGTTACCTTCTGACTGTTGTGAACTGTGGAGTCAACAAATTCAGAATTATTCCACAATCAAAGAAACCCCGAACAAAACATATCTGTAGCCGAAATACTCGAACAAGGCTTACCAACATCTACGGTGAAACATTGGAGAGTGTAGTGGTAATCACATCTGCTTTATATGCAAAAGTTCCTAGGTTCAATTCCCAGAGGAACCAAAACTTCAGATTTCATTATAAGATGTCAGTTGAAGAGTTCAGGATTTGGAGGTGCTAGCAGTGATATCTGTTAAAAGATTAGTCTGCTGAAAAGTTGATTGGAGATTAAAAAACAAACTTCCACTAATCGTCACACTCTGCAAGCGCAAACTAAACTGTATTCAATGCCACATAGTAGATTGGAGGAATTGCCCTTCCAGAGGTTCCATAGTGCATTGCATCTGTATTTGTTAACACAGCAGATAAATTAAGACTTTTTAGTAGTTGATTAGCAAATACCTCGTATCACAGGACTTCCCTAGTGTGGGCATCACGTCTGCTTTACATTCAGAAGGTCCTGGGTTCAATCCCCAGCGGAACCACACTTATGTCCTATTACCATCAGGAAGATGTAAATTGTAAAGTAAAGAATTGTTCCATAATCAGAGACTCTGTGACCACACAATCTTTAACCACGAATTTCGTTGTGAACACAGTTTAGTTTCTGCTTACGAAGTGACACCACAACACAGACATTTGCTCGTGTTGACTCTACTTTAAATTGAAACATTAAGTCAAAGTTCTGGTTCCACTGGGGATTGAACCCAGGACCTTCTGCGTGTAAAGCAGACGTGATGACCACTACACTATGGAACCCATTTGATGTCTTGACTTTGGTCATTCAAACAAAACCTGATCTAAACATATCTGTAGCCAAAATACTTGAAGAAGGCCTTACCAACACACCCTCAGTATTACCCCTCTCACAATACCCGACTATCTGACATCTCCCTGTCTACTAATCAACTTGGCCGAGTATTTCAAAACCTTTGCTCGACATCAGAATTAGTATATTTCAGATATGATCATTCTGATGCAGATAGCACAACATCAGGATTATAGAATCTAGATCTGTAGTCTTGGAATAGGCCTCGATCTGTTGGTCAACGTTGTGCAACATTTAATTCACACAGGTGTGAAAATGTTGGGAAGTGTTCATCAGTTTGTATTTAATCAGATTCACTTATCCATAATATTAAATTAAATTGGAGATGACCGAAATAGTGATTGCACAGAGGTTCCATAGTGTAGTGGTCATCACGTCTGCTTTACACGCAGAAGGTCCTGGGTTCAATCCCCAGTGGAACCAGAATTATGTCCCAGTACTTTCTGACTGTTGTGAATTGTGGAGTCAACAAATTCAGAATTACTCCACAATCAAAGAAATCCCGACCAAAACATATCTGTAGCCGAAATACTTGAACAAGCCTTACCAACATCTACGGTGAAACATTGGAGAGTGTAATGGCAGTGTTGATTTTGACAGCAAATTCTGATTTAGTCTTAGTCTTTTGAATAACACACCATTTAGTTTTAGTCATATTTTAGTCATCTGATATCTTTTAGTCTTAGTCTAGTTTTAGTAGACCAAATATTAGCAGATTTTAGTCGACTAAATCACGGGGGTTTATCTGATAAAATAATGTTAGTGTGTATACTAACCTTTGCATGTATTTCTGGATGAGTCGTCTGTAAATGTCACTTCCAGTTGGCGGTGTTTTTCCCAGCGATTTTTGCTCCACACGGTTTACAAACGGTCTTGTTGTCCTTGTTGTCATATGTGAAGTGTGACCAGATGTTAATTCTTCGTTTTCGTCCTAGACCTAGCTCTGACATTTCTGTTGTTCATGAGCCATGCATTGCCCTCGGACTGGGTGCACTGCAAAACGTTAGCGTGTTGCTAACAACGAAGTCAACTGAAATCATCCAAAGCTGTGTAACTAAGACTGTGCAACTAAACACAACTAAATATAATGTAAACAACCTAACTGCTGTGAAAACGTCCTTGAAACTGTGCGAAGTTCTGCAAACTCGTTTAGCTGTTGCGCCTGCATTTGCCGCGGCTTTTTAAAATGGCTCTGCTGCTTCTGCATAGATCAACCTACCCTCAAAGATTCGCTCTGATTGGATTTCTTCCCAACTTGTCCCACAAGAACAGTAGTTCTGATTGGATCTCTTCTCCATTTGTCCCTCCCTAACATTTTCATCTCATTTTTATTCACTGACTTAAGTGTTATATTTCGTCACACTCTTCGTCATCATATCTGACTTTCTATTTAGTTTTTATTTAGTTTTCGTCCGTGAAAAAGGTTTGTTGAGGAATATTTTTTGTCATAGTCTTCGTCAACGAAATTAACACTGTGTAGTGGTAATCACATCTGCTTTATATGCTTAAGTTCTTAGGTTCAATCCCCAGTGGAACCAAAAATTCAGATTTCATTATAAGATGTCAATTGATGAGTTCAGGATTTGGAGGTGCTAGCAGTGATATCTGTTAAAAGATTAGTCATCTTTTAACAGATATCACATCTGTTCTGGGTGTAAATGTGGTTCTGAACAAACCTAAAACATCAGTTTAGTCTGCAAGCGTTTTGATCTGTGTCTGTACAAACATCATTGTTGACTGCAGTCACATGGAAAGGGATATGATCGTGGTTCCACTGGGGATTGAACCCAAGAGCTTCTGCGTGTAAAGTAGACGTGATGGAACATCTGCACTGTAGAGTTTTTTGCTAATTTTCACACCTGTGTGAATGAAATGTTGCACAATGTTGACCAACAGATAGAATACAGATAATGGAACCAGAATTATGTCCCATTACCTTCTGACCAACAAGCCTGACAAGCCTAGACATCTTCGGTCTCTCATCATACCAGTCTATCTGAGATCTTGGCGTCTACCAATCATCTGGGCAGACTATTTCAGAAACTCTAATCTACACCAATCAGCTATCAGCCGGTGTTCCCGATCTGCAGAGGTCAGTACCTATCAAAAGTGGTCCAAGGAAGGAAAAGAACCAGAGACAGGATCAGGGTTGAGGCTCATTGATGCACGTGGGGAGTGAAGGCTGGATCCAACAGACGAGCTACTGTAGCTCAAACTGCTGAAACAGTTAAATCCACACTATGCAAGATTTGCATTCCACACTATGCAGCTTCGAAGTCATTTCGATGGTAAACAAACTCATAGTATAGCGAATCATCCCAATAGCAAAGCAGGAGAGGGACGCTGTTGGCAGAACCAGCAATGCAAGTCTGAAAGGTGGCGTCCCGCCAAATCTCGCGAGAGTCACAAATTGCTTTACGGCGCGACGTCACATACATCTGCAGTCTATCTTTGCCTGTTCGATGTCCGACGCTTCCATCGTACTGAACATGTACCGGTATACAGGGGGGAAGGGATCAGGCTGTGAGTGCAGAGACGCAGAGCCGTATATAGAGACGGCTCTGGTGAGTGGTATTTACGACAGTTTACATTAAATACAAGTACTCCGCAGCGACTCTAGGGGTAGCTGTTTGACAAAACCGGAAAACTGCATAGTATGCCTTTAATGCTGGTTCAGATAGAAAGAACACACAGTGTATGAGACTGTATGTGGCTGATCTGTGTATATAACAGACAGAAGTGTCCTAAAGCTGCATTCTGTCTAACGGCTAGCAGGGGGAGCTCCTCTGGCTGATACCACACAGTCTTATGGACTTAATTTATTATCAGTTTAGGTTATTATTCTCCTGAAGAACTGGAATCTGTTGTTCTCCAAGTGTTTGAAGTTTAAAATATTTCCAGGAGAATCTAAAA